TGTATGGATAAACAAGAAAAATTCCTTGTTTTGTTTTAGCTGACCCAAACAATCAAAAACAAACTAAATAATTGTTTTGTCTGTGCAATGCCCTGATCTCGGAGATTCTCGAAAAGGGGCAAACGACTTAGTCATACGTACCTAAGTAGACCATAGTTTCCTACCGCCTCAAATTTTCGACCACCTCTGAAGTTCATATACACCTTCTGTAAGTAGGTAGGTACGTTCGGATATCTACCTACGTAAAAAATTTCCCCTTGCCGAGGCACATATTTCTTCGCGCCTACCTAGGTAGGTATGCGACTTCCCGTAAAAATGTGCATTGCAAACGGCGCTATAAACAGATATATATCTAACATACGCCCTGATTGTCGAAGATAACTTGATAAATAATCATAGGTACACTTACCAAATTATCTATCTTCACTCCAAGTATCTGCAACAAACTCAATGTCAGAAAAGGAAGATATCGAACTTTGCTCGGATTTTAGTCTTCTTACCACCGAAACAAACATGACACCTGCGAGCAGCGATACGGCGGCGGAGAGCTATAAGAGTGAGCCTAAGTCTACCGACAGAGGTGACCAAACAACCGTACTATGGCCTGGCGGAACGTATATTATCCGCGAAAAGAAATCGAAGTTACAAATTACTCTGGTAGATGGGCGGATTTGCTTGGAACCTCATTTAGGCGATCAAGGTGGCTACCATTGGCATTGTATCTCCAAGGATGGATGGCTTGGATTCCGGAACCCTAGCGACGGCCTGCACCTAGGACACAATAATAAGGGGGATATAGTTGCCGATCAGCGGCGCCATTTAACCTGGGAATATTTTATTACAAGAGGACATCCCGATGGCGGTCACATAGTGTTGACGAAACACGATGATAAGCTCTGGCCGGTTTCAAATTTGGGGGGCTGCAAAGTTGATGAAAGCAAGAGTGACGGGACTGTGTGGGAGTTTGTGAAGGTATGAGGGTCCAAATGTGACGAGTCTGGAACTTGGGTGATATTCCTTGGGGTTGTTTAACATATCATCAATCATATTTAGGATATTTAATGTATTGGAGCACTAAATTTATCCGATGAAAATTCGTTGAATACATACGCAACGACGTACTCTAGCGACGAGATTGCAGTCTCCCTTAGAAAGAGCCAGATATCCCTTCGAAGCTTTTTGCCTATGGAGCCCGCAGATTTAAAGCCGCATCCAGAGATAACTCCTAGCGCCATGCTATAATAGAATGCATCCGTTTCGAAGATGAAATCCACGATGCCTGCCCCGCCGAATTCAATGTTCATAGATAAGCCTCTACCCATGACCCATCTCTCCAAGCCTTATGTTTCATTACCCTGAGCTTTCTATCTCATCTCTGGTAGTATTGTGATTTGTGAGATATTAATAGCGGATCCCGTCTACGATCCGATCATCGCTCCACTCCGATAGCCGTGGGTGGAAACTTGGCAGCTGCTCGACTGAGGCCACGTAAAGGTGCCGGTAAGCTTCCAGACTGAAGGATATCGATGTAGGCATCGATGATGGTGTTATCCTCCGACAAGTCCTGTCCTCGGGTGCGGGTCAACCAATACTCGAAAGGTCCTCCTGTAACGGATAATTAGCATCTGACATCTAGTATCTACCCGAGGAACATTGCAGAGATCAGGTTGACGTGGAGAAAGACTTACGGTTATGCGCGAGCGCAGCACCAAGCTCCGCGCAACGTTCCTCGACCGTGTGTTCGGTGTGCATGTCAAGGTAGTGGTTGAGGATCTTCGAGACGTCCTTCAAGGGCCACTTGCACGGCGCACTAGGCACGCGGTTGGTACCTGCATCAAGGAACTTTCTCGAAACACACAACCGACACTTCCAGAATCCGAGGCGCTGGACATTGTTCGTGCCTGGGCCGTCCAGACTAGTGTCAATCTCCTTGTTGTCCTCGTCCTCGCCCTCGCTGTCTACCGTGGCAAGCTTGCGCTTCACGCTAGCGCTGGGGGTGGCGGAGACGCGGTGCTGGCGGTGGTTGTTAACCGTGGACGCTGCCGCCGCGACGGAGGCAGCAGCTCTACGCGCCTCCTGTGCTTCCATCAGCTGGATCCGGTGCTGGCAGTGACGGATGTTGTGGCCGCAATCCAAAACACGGATCTGGAGAGTTCTGGTCTCTTGCGCTGTGAGATCAGGCGTTGTAAGCTGGTTGCGACAGAAATCCAGGTCATAGCGGTAGGCATCAATATCTTCGATCATCTGACGGCGCGTGAGCTCATTGAGGTTGTTACCCTCGTAGTTAAGAGAGTGAGGATCCACAGAGCCATTAGAGACGTGGTGGGACGGCATCATGCCGTTTGAGAACTTGACGCGCAAGTTAGCATTTGGCTCATGTAAAAGTGAAGCTTGAAGAATGAGACGAATAAAAATGAGAATATAGATAAGTATGAATACGATCGCGAAAATGAACTAGTATGAGAAACTAGTGAATGACTGCTACAGGCGATCTCGAACTGTGGGATTTGAGATAGAGGGCATGTGCTCGGAAAGGTGCTAGTTGAGTCACTTACAGCAAAGAGCCGGTTGATATCAGGGACGAACCTTTGGACAAAGTTCAGACGTTGCCTAGACATTTCTAGCAAAAGTGATGAAGGAAGAGAAAGAAATTTGCAAATGAGAACCGGCGATATATGGTCTCGCCGGCAAGTCGTCGATGCAGCTCCGGGAAGGAGGAAGAAGGCGGACGGTGTGGATTAACAAGGTGGATAGATTTCCGGCAGATATTAGGAAAGAACCTTCTATCGGTAATAAAACTAAGAAACTGCCGGAGTCACAAGAGCTATTGTAAATGGCAACTGCTATGGATGTTGATTTGACCTTGGATTAAACTGAGAAGGAGCAATCCCGAGCAGACGTGCAAGAGGCTAGGATCAGTTTTAGTTGAAGTTAAAATTGGTTCTATTTTCAGGGGTATCGTCAAAAAGAAAAAAATTGATGAATCTCTTGATATTGAAGAACACAACTTCTTAGAAAATAAGAATAAGGCCCAAAAGCTGTGTTAAATGAAACACGGTATCGAGACAAGTATAGAGTGAGAGCGGCGAGATAAGAAGAAAAAAAATGAAAAGAAAAAAAAGAGACGGAAGAAAAAAAAAGTCTGGGGAAGAAAAGAAAAAATTTTCAAAAATAGAACTTGAAGGTACAACAGAGTCATTCCCAACACACACTATCTATTTTACGCTCTAACTTACATATCCTCATTAGCGATATTAAAGAGCATCTTTCATCAAATCCCACCCTGTCTTAATGCGTTGTGCTGTTTTTTCTTTTGTCTTCAATGTAGAATAAGAAGTTGGAAGAATGCTGCTTGCGGCTCAGGTACGAAGCACAGAAATCTGCTAATGGACCAATGGAGTTAGCCGATTTTGCAAGGTTATGACCCCACTACCCCACTACAGCTACCTATTAGGGAAATCTTCAGCTGCTGCATCTCATCCATGTCTCTCGGAAGGTGGAAGAGGAAGAAGAAAACAAACTGTGGTCCTATTTTTATCATCGAGCTGAGCTGAAGGTATGAGTAGTTGGTTTCCGATATTCCTATGAGGTGAAAACAAGTGCCTAAGCTGTGTATATAATTATGCGTCTACCTAGGTACCTAGGAAATAAACATTCAAAATATTACAAGAAAAGTGTAACAATATTGACTCGGACCGTATATGTCGGCCGAAGGAAAGTTAATCTAGGCGGAAGTAGACGGTCGAGAAGCAGGCTCCGGTACGCTGCCGCCGCAATGTAGGCCGCATATAGGGCAGTCGCACGGAGTTTTGTCATGGTGGAGGTTGTGCTTGCCGCGCCGAAGCCCCGAGTCCCGTAATTCGGAATGGAGTGAAGCTGACCAGCCTAGCTCAAAAGCCTCAAGAGTTACTTGTTCCGAGGTACTATTAGTCAGGTGATTGCCTACATCAAATCCAGATCCAATCTTAAACATTGGACTTGACTGCATGAGTTTAGGATCGTTGTCACTATTGATCGAATTCCTGAGCAGCTGAACCGCGCAAGAGGGAATCAGGATTTGACATTTAAGTGGTCTTCGCCAACAATACACCGGACCACCAACCCATGGTCCAATAAAATGGGCAGAATCTAGTTCGCTATCTTGGTATCCATGGGAAATATAAATGGGCGAATTCCAGTATACCTACATCTTGATTGGCGGGTACCTAATCGTGCCACGTCAGGAATATTATGAAGGGAGGAGCGGTGTCAGAAACGTTGAATATTCAATTCATTGAAGAATACCAACCACCAGGCATCTATTGAAAGATGAATTTCGATGGGAAGTTACAGCGCGTGTAACATGTTCTTTAGTGGTACTTAAGTACCTAAAAAGCTTAAATCGTTTAGCGCAACGCGTGAGGTGTTCTTGCTGGTTGCTCCCTTACAACGAACCGCCCCACAAGCCCCATCTATTTTTCAGGGCAAGGTTCCCATTGCTCAATTGTCGAAGCTTGTGCCAACTTCTAAACAAAGCCATCCTACCATCCTCAAAATCAGCAATCCCATAATAACACTTCCGTTATTGAATGAACTACACCGATTTATCGATTTTGGCAGCATCATTCAATACCCTCATTGCTTTCTCTTCTTTGCTATTGCTATTTCCTGTTGCTAGATTACTTATGATTGCTGGTCAATTGACTTGAAAAAGTCATGTCTGTTCGCGTGATTGCACGGATACGTCCGCTCCTGGAAAAAGAATTGGACAAGGACGTGATCGTACACTCCGCGAGCAACGACGATGGCAAGACTACTAATGTCGTCAAGATACCTAACCCGAAGAATGAATCAGAGGAATTCTCATTCACCTTCAATGGTGTATACGACCAGTCGACGACACAAGAGGAGCTATTCACATCAGAAGGTATGTATTTATCTCCGTTGTCCATCCGTCCATCCCTTTCGTCGTCCCTCGTGCAGGTTCACGTAGGACATTCATAGCTTAACTTCGAATTTTGCAGTTGCCCCTCATCTCAAGTCTCTCTTCAATGGCCTCGACGTGACGATATTTGCTTATGGTGTCACCGGAACCGGCAAGACCCATACAATGCGTGGCGGATTGAAGTTGGCCGAGCGTGGTGTTATCCCCAGACTTCTTAGTGGTGTGTTCCGAAGAGCGAAGAAGATCACCAAGGATTCCGAAGGCGAGACTACCGTATTTGTCGCCCTCTCCTACTACGAAATATACAATGACAAGGTCTTCGACCTACTCGAACCTCCCGAGAAGCGAACACCATCGGGTCTACCTCTACGCGCAGAGGCTAACGGCAAGACTGTCGTTGCTGGTTTATCCGAACGACCTTGTCAAGACTTGAAAGACTTCGAACGATTATATATCGAGGCCAACAACAACCGCGTAACTGCTGCTACGAAGCTCAACGCCCATAGTAGTAGAAGCCATGCTATCCTGCGGGTTAAGCTTACACAGACCACTGGAGACATGGTCCGAGAAAGCACAGCATCAGCCATTGACTTGGCTGGTTCGGAGGATAATCGTCGAACGGAGAACGACAAGGAACGGTTAATCGAATCTGCTGCTATCAACAAGAGTCTATTCGTGTTGAGCCAGTGCATTGACGCCATTTCAAGAGGAGATCGCCGTATACCGTTCCGAGAGTCGAAGATGACGCGAATTCTCTCACTCGGCCAAAACAATGGCATTACCATCATGTTTTTGAACCTTGCACCAATTCGAAGCTACCACCTCGATACCCTCAGTAGCTTGAATGTCAGTTCTAGGGCTAAACGGATCGAAGTCCGCGAGATCGAGAATGAGGTTGTCTTCAAACAGCCTCCGCGTGCCATTTCAAAACCTGGTTCAGGCATTACTCGCCAGCCGTTGCGACCCCTTGCGAATGCGCATAACATCCATTCGGGGGCTGCCGCCAAGGCCGCAGATAAGCCTACCGATCGCCCGGTGAAGGCTTTCAGTGTGTACACCGATCGGCTAAAGCCACCGCAGCCTGCATCGCGACCTATGGCCAATACCACTATGAAGCGATCGCCTTCTCACATGCGTCCTTCCGATTCTTCAGATGGCGGGAGCCGGCCGAGCAAGATCACCCGTCCGGCGCTAATACCTAAGTCAGTCAAGCCACCGCAACCAACGTTACCCTCCATGTCCGCAGACCAGATTGAAGCGATGGTGGAGAAGAAGGTGAGCGAGATTCTAGCTTCTCGAACGCAGGCCGCCCCGGCACCGCCTGAGATCAATGAGGCTGTACAGAGACGTCTCGAGGCTCTGGAGAAGCGCATCGAAGATGGACGTCACGATGATTCCCGCTCGGAGGGTTTACAATTCTTGCTGATGGCTCGACAACACAAGGAGCGTGGAGAAGAAGCCAGCGCGCTTAAGATGTATGAGATGGCTTTGCCTTACTTTCCAGGCCAAGCAAAGCTCCTCGGAAAGATAGAGAAGCTAAAAGCTCGACTGGATGCCAAACGCGGAGCTCGGGATATGTCACCCGGTGAAACGGGAGATGAGATCAGAAGGAGTCCGTTTAAGAGTCCGTCTAAGAGCCCGTTCAAGAGCCCGGCTAAGAAGCATAAGAAGCCTAGCCGGCCAGTCGAAGACGACGGGTACAATGGTGCGGAAGCAGACGACGATGACGATGACTTCATGGGCAGAGGTCGTACGAAGACCAAGAGGTCAAGGACTACCAAGGCATCCGGGGAGTCGACAGTGATAGAGGAAGGTCCTGTATCGCGGAATTTGTTATACATTGTCAACTCGCGAGATATTTCCTTGATCACTACTCTTCAGGGCTTCGGACCGAAGAAAGCTCGGGACCTGGTAGATTACCTAGAGCTCATGGCGGAGGATGGTGGTCGCATCAACTCGATAGAGCAACTTAGAACGATCCCCGGGATGGGCGGACGCACTATAGACCGTGCTTATGAGGGCCTGCTCGCCTCTCCGGGATTTTCTTAATTCGGCATTTTTCTTTTTCTTTCGCTTTTTCATCGTTTCTAGTCGCTTTGCGAAGGCTGCATTTGCATCAGCTGGCGGTTTTTTCTTGGTCGTCTAGGCATGGATGGAGTGAACTGAAATTGCATCGGCACGGCGTTTTTAAAGGAGATGGTGTAGGCATATGATTTGTTGGGATTAAGGCATATTCATTCGACTAAAGTCCGTTGGAAGTTTTTCCTAGGATAGCTTCATAGGGCTATAGTTTGCATTGGTTTCACAGTAGTGGAAAGATACGTAGAAGCTATTAAGCTGAACAGGATTGTTGAGAGATTAAATTGTTTTAATTTGGGGTGTATGCTTCGTGACAGGAAGTCTTAATATACTTCATGGAAGGTCAGGGGGTTGACCAATATTTAGGTGGGAAGAAATATTGATTGCATGTAGGTGTGACTGTCTACTAGGTGGGTAGGTAAGAGATGAAGTTGACGGGCCGTTCCGGTAAAGTCAACTTCTTACTAAGCAGCTGCTAGTCGTTTTAGTGCGGTTAGACAGGGGTTTTCTTCGAGGTTCGGCTATCGAAAGGCTCAAAAGTTTGGAGAAGCTCCCGCTATTTTTTTGCTCAGTCGTCATACCTAAAATCCAAGAACGACCAAAGCTGTCGACCACGACGGTCACTTTAACTACGGGCCTCCCTTTGAGACCGCCACCATGCGCGGCCTCTCCCTTCCGACTATAAGAGGTCGCACTGATCAATTGGCGCATCGGACAAGCTACATTTGCCGGCAATGTAGAGCTATTCAAATCAGTTCCTCTCCTTCGACAGAGTCCCCTCGTCTTAGTGGAGACGTCTTTGGCACGTCCGCGGGTGGGTTTAAGGATGTTACAGGTATGCCTTCTAGTGTATTGCATTTTCTATTGGATATAAATGCTTATATTCCATGGCAGATGCCCGATTCGAGGTGTTAGGGACGCCATACTCCCTCCTCAAAGTATCCCTATCAGCTTCGCAGAGATTATATACGCGCCGCGGAACACTCGTAGCGGTTTCCGGCAAAGCCCAAAATGTACGATGCCACTGTAATCCAGCTACTCATCTACCTACCTAGCATGTCACGAGCTCTAAACTAACAATAAGTGCCCAGGCTCAATCCACCCTCTCCATCCTCTCTCCCTTCACCCGCGCCGCCACCGGCGTCCCGTTCCTCTACCAACGCATCACCTCGACAACGCCACTTACCGCCCTGATATCCACGAAATCGCCCACCACAACGTTCACCGTGCTGCACCTCGACGGGACAACAGACTGGATGGTAGCGCAGCGCTCCGCGCTCCTCGCCTGGACGGGGCACACGCTGACCGTGACCCCGCGGGTGCAGACGCGCCTGCCGCTCGCGCACTGGGGCTCCTCCGAGCTCACGGGGCGCGGGCTCGCCGCGCTCTCGGCGCCGGGGCACACCTACCAAGTCACGCTGGCCGAGGGCGAGGAGTTCGTCGCGCACCCGGCGAACGTGGTCGCGTACACGGTGACCAAGGCGCCGCCGCTGCCGTTCCGGTTCCGCAGCTCCGGGTTCGTCGGCTTCCAGATCCCGTCGCTGACGGCGCTGCTGCCGAGCACCCCATTCCTGGACAATATGCGCAAGACGGACGCGTACAAGTTCCTGAGCCGCGTCCTGTTCGCGGCGAGGACGGCGGCGCGCAGGACGATCTGGGGCGATGGGCTGTTCTTGCAGTTCCGCGGGCCGATGACGTTGCTTATGTCCAGCAGGGGGGCGAGGGTTAGCGATGTGTTGACGAGCGAGGATGTTAATGAGCTCGCGGATGCGCCGATGGGGGAGGTGCCTAAGGCGGTGGAGCTCAAGACGAAGCCGAAGCTTGATGCGGGGCCGCCGAAGACGGAGGATAAGGCCGAGGTCAGGATTAATGTGGCGAGTGTTGGTGAGGATGGCAAGGTGAAGTTCGTGGACGCGGAGAATCTGAAGGGGTTCGAGAAGAAGTAGGGTCGGCAAGATAGGGGATAGGAGGTAGAGGACAGGGGCGGGGGGAAGGGGAAGGGATGGGGGGAAAAGAGCATGGGCTGTACGATGTACTATAGACCAGTCACAAGCATTAACAGGAGCATTGACTACGATTCTATGGGAGCCTGAAAAAATAGATGTATGATACCCGGTCAAAGCTATGTTCTCTAGCGATTTACGGTATAGAATGATACTACATGGTATGCGCTAAGATTAAACAAACTTCGAAGGCAACTCAAAATTATTAATACTAATCATTCAGCCAAGTCACCCCAAGCAAGAATTACGAAGTGCCGAAGTGGAAATTCTGCCGAATGAAGTTCGAATGCCATCTCCAATTCAAGTGCTAGGTGGCTCTGACAATATGTGGTACTTGCGTGAGGCTCTCTTACACTTAAGGGCGGTTTCGGTGTAATGGGGGCTGCGGTCCACGATGCTTTGCCGGCACACGTGTACCAACCGTCCGGCAGAAGCAGACGGATTACGATTGGGAAAACTCGGCTTCGGCCGTACATTTGAGTCATTTTAAGATCGGCCGACGGTTTGAACAACATCCGTAGCATGGCTTACGACACGTAGATCTGCGGGTTCTTGACCAGACGATGTCCGGCTTGGTAGAATGCGGCATAGTGAAGTTGAGCTAAGTGGTCGTGCAGCCCTTGGCCGGACTTGGTGTTTGGTACTCGGACTATTGTCCGTGCATCCTCTCTCCCCTCTATGTAGCATGTACTATGCAGAGATATTAGAGGACTGGGTAGTTGGTGTTTCTTCCAAACCATAAATATTGCTATATATCAATCAGCTTCATACAAAAGTCAGGTGTGCGTTATACAGGCATTCTGGTACCGCATTACTCAGCGGACAAGCAGTGTTTCATCCAGCATCAGTGTGAGCGGTCACCCGAACACCAACAAGATGGAACCAGAATAATACGACGTGGGCTTTGTAGGTACCTAAGTAACTATTTTAGTATTGGTGCCCTTCATGTTCAATATTGAATGCTCGTACTCCTCGGATGTCCTTCGCAATTCCGAGATATATTGGATATCTCCGAGACTAAATATATTTCCAACCGGCCTGCGGGCCTGCAAGATCTACGTATAGATAAGATCCATTTTTTAAGGTACATTTAATCTTAATAGGTCTAGCGCGACCCGACGATATTGAGCATCCAAACCACGTTTCCGTGAGTACGTAAGCAGCATCAATTCAGCCTCTCAGCTCTTGGCCGTAATTAGGTTTGATTGGTCTGATGGGGGACACGACTTCTCTGTGCTACAAGTAGTATACAAGTAAGATGCCGCTTCCTGTCTTGTCTTTGTGACACCACACGCATTTAAATGCCTATTAAGACATTGTACCGCTTTGTAACAAGCGTAATAAGTGTGGCTTGCTCGCTCGTTCGCGCCTTTCTTTCGAGGCCGAAGTTGGCTAATGCCTTGTTATTCCGTGATCTTCAACCCATTCTATTTCAGTACTAGCTGGCCCACATATTCCCCCAGGGGCATTATCATTGTAGTCTGCCGCATCCCCACGCCTTGGGCTATCTAGTGAAAACCCCCATCCTCTCCCAAAGACACCCAAATACAGGTCAAATGTAACAAATCGAAATATGTTTTCAGTGCACCGCTATGCAACCGCCGGGAATCGAGTTTGGTAAGACGAATCACACACGTTTGAATCAGCCCTACGGGTCCGTTCTAGTGACTCGCTCGGTCTTTTTCAGTCTGTTAAGCGCGACGAAAGCACTCTCACTCACTCTTCTCACAATACTGCAAATACATCCCCCCCTTTTTCTTTTACACGACGATGCGAAGGCCGAGCTCACGCAATATCGCATCTATTAGAGACTGACCTATGATCTGATCAATCCTTGAGAACAAGACACAATGTCTTTCTTTTTCTTCATCGCGCATTGCCCCACGCAGTCCCCGGGGTGTCGCAAAATAATATCTATAATAATAAAGAAATAATGAATGCATAGTGGGTACGTACTGTGTTGTCTCCCAGCTACGAGACCCTAAGACCCTGAGCTGCATGTACCCTCTGACCACCATCTTAACACCGAGCACCCTCGTCTTCGCCCGAGTGTCTCGGATCGACTCTACTATTTCATATAAGAGACTGAGCATGCCTCAGTGACGCACTGTAACCATCTTCTACTCATCGCGTGTCCATCGTAGGAAATATAAGATATTTCATCTTGAAATCCTAACATTCTGGAATAGCTTCCTGGGATACTAGATACATCGATACATCGATCGTCTGGTCCTGCATTGCAGTCATATACTTGGTTGGAAGAACCCGAACCCTCGGGTCCTTGCGTTGGTGCACTGCAGAGCAAACAAACAATACTTTTCTTCCCAGCTAGGTTTTCTTTGTCTACACCCTTGGAAATTGTCAAAATGGCATCTCCCACCCAGCCAAAATTCTCCATCTCCCATAAGTCCTCGCAGAGCAAAATGCCCGGATACGAATCGGAGGCGTCGACAATGGGAGGCGTATCAACTGAAATACCCAAAGACTCGATCGATCCGAGTCCGTATCAGTCGAGGCCGTCCCTCGAACGAATCCAGTCGCAAACTCACTCGACTAACGCCAACATATTTCCCGAACCCGAGAATGTGATCGAAGCTGATAGTAAATACCCCCCCTCCCTTTTTATCTTTTCAACTGCAAGTAGCTAGCGAGCTTCTTAAAGGATGTTCTTTTTTCGCGCTCTGAATTTTAGGTAGAATATAACTAACTCGACGTCCTTGTAGTGGAGAAAGGCGGCGTGGTACCGCTTCCACCGTCAGGCCCGCCCGGCTTCAACCCGGCTGATTTTCCGGATGGCGGCATTGTGGCCTGGCTCGTAGTCGCCGGTGGCTTCTGCGCGCTGTTCAGCACATTCGGGCTCGTCAACTGTGTCGGCGTGTTTGTCAATTACTATGTCGAGCATCCCTTGTCGAACTACAGCGAATCGACCGTCAGTTGGATTACTTCGCTTCAGGTCTTCATGATGTCGGGATTGAACGTGGTTGTAAGTGCCTATCTTATCCCCCTTTTTTTACGTTCTTGTCGGACGTGGGTGTTGGTTCCATTGGTCGGAATGGGACGAAATATGAACGAAAACAAGGAGCGGTAGCTAATTCTGACAACACAGATGGGTCGACTGTACGATAGCTACGGCCCCAGATGGCTCCTAATCATCGGAACCTTCGTCTACGTCTTCGGCATGATGATGCTCTCCCTCTCGACGGAGTACTACCAAATCATCCTCTCGCAAGGCATCGTCAGCGCCGTGGGTATGAGCGCCGTGTTCAACTGCGCGACGAATTCAGTTATAGGCTGGTTCTTCAAGAAGCGGGCCGCGGCGCTCGGCATCATGGTGTCCGGCTCCTCGCTCGGCGGTGTCATTCTGCCCATCATGATGGAGCACCTGATCCCGAAGATCGGCTTCGGCTGGACCATGCGTGTCCTCGGCTTTATGTTCTTCGGCCTGTGCGGTTTCGCCTGCTGCACCATCAAGTCCCGCCTGCCGCCGCGCAAGAAGCCCTTCCACATCATGGAATACGTGCGACCCTTACGCGAGCCCGTTTTCCTGTGCATCGCCTTCGCCGCCTTTTTCTTCTTCTGGGGCATGTTCTTGCCCTTTAACTACATCGAGTTACAGGCCAAGCAGGAGGGCATCAGCCCGGATATCATCCCGTACCTACTTCCCATCATCAACGCCGTCAGGTAAGCTCCCTCACTCTCACTCTCACTCTCAGCCCCCTCCTCCAAGTTTTCAAAGTAAACCTACTCTACTACAAGATGAACTAACCAAAAAACCTCCCCTCGCACAGCATACCCGGCCGTATCCTCCCCGGCTTCCTAGGCGACCGGTTCGGGCGCTTCAACACGATGATCTTCATCGCGGGCCTGTCGGGCGTGATCACGCTGGCGCTGTGGGTGCCGGGCAAGTCGACGGCGGCGACGGTGGTGTACGGCGCGGTCTTCGGCTTCGCGTCGGGCGGCTTCATCTCGCTGCTGCCGGCCGTCGTCGCGCAGATCAGCGACATCCGCGAGATCGGCACGCGCACCGGCGTCGCCTTCTTCTTCGCCGCCCTCGGCGCGCTGACCGGCTCGCCCATCGGCGGCGCCATCGTGAGCGCCCAGGGCGGCAAGTTCTTGGGCCTCCAGCTCTTCTGCGGTATCGTCATGACGGCTAGTATGGCCTGGTTCGTGCTGAGCCGCTCCCTGCTGGTTGGCTTCAAGTGGATCAAGGTTTGAAGATGGGAAGGGGAGGAGGAGGGGGGGGAGAAAGTGGGGTAAGAGGAGAATAGGGGGTTGGGGGTTCGGGGATTGGAGATGGTGGCTTTTAACGAGGGGGGGGAACGAGGGTGGGACTTCTTAGACATGACGACTTCTGTGAGATGGATCTGCTTAGATACCCAAAAAAGGATGCCGGCTTATTGGCGGGTTAGATTTCTAGGTCATCGGTTGGGGATACCTGTGAATGGCATAGGCGGCGTTTTGTTTGTTCTGGCTGGATGACATCTCCTTGGTGTCGTCTCAACATACCGGTATTCTCGACTCTTGAGATACTTTCTCTATATACCCGGGGAATAAATAACCTTGTAATAGTAGAGTGATGGGTGTTGTGGATGGTGTTCTGTTTGTCCTTTGTCATGATTGGGTTCACATCGAAGTCGTCCACAGGACTGGGAAGGCGGACAAAGTAATTCATTGCAGTGAGCTCGATCTGTTGTATGGTGTTAGTAGGCATAATGTTCTTAGCAACGTCATGTCTATGCATAGGCCAACATGTCTCAAATAGACAACTCCGAAAGCGTCGAAGGCTCTTACAATCTCGATCTTCTATCGCGGACCATACCTAGCTAGTGGTGCTGAACTGCTCGCCCCCATGCAATGTGGTGTCAAGCGGTTCAAACCAGGTTGATTGACTGACGAGCACATCGAAGTGATGTTACTGGTGGCACACATATTAGAATGACTATTGCTTGTGCTGTTTTCCATTGTGTGACTTGCATGATGGGAGGTACGTTTGTTGTAATAGAGATGATAGAGACGATGCTTGTATTGTTAGCAGGGAAAAGACTCCGTTGTTGGTGTGTATAAGACTAAGATTACCTACTCGACGTAAAGACATTCTGACCTGGATACCTAGGTAGGTATGAATAGGGGCTAATACTGTGGTTTTGTGAATGGAATTGTCTGCTAAGTGAAGGAACTTTCTTGATGTGAACAGTATGAACTAACCTATTAGGTATATAATAGAATGAATGTGCAACTTGAGATCAGTCCAAACAATGGCCAAAGCATCATCATTAGGTAATAAATGATGCTTGTGTTGAATTTTCTCAAACTCAAAATAGCGTGACTAGCATCCTGTATGGTGAGATGCCTTCTTATGCTTAGTTAATGACTTGCAAGAAGTCACACATGGATGCTTATATTGACTATTGAGTTAGTCATGGTCTTTGGATAGATACCTTCATACATAGGTACCTACCTAGTTATTGCCAAGGCGAATACTAACATTCAAAGGGGCGCTTCAGTTAGAAGCTAATCATACCTAGGTATCTGGCTTGAAAAGGAAAAGTTTAACTTGATAGATGTGATAACATACTACCTATGTAGTGTCTATAAATAGGGCTTATAAGAATTTCATAGTCATGAGAAAAACCAATGTGCTCAGGAAAACTTTAGAATCTCACGACTGCATAGGTACCTATATGTAACAATGAAAGAGTATAATATTATGTTAGTTCATTTCTCTACTGGTATGAAGACGCACTGAAGCGATTCAAGCTCCTTCTTCTCAATGCCCAAACAGTCGAGACTTTACACCAAGTAAATACTAAATTCCTTATAGAATAATCAGGGGAAATCCCTAAATATATGCTATATTGGTATTTTTCAAACTTCACCATGTCCTTGTTTGACTCATCGGGTTGTAGATACCTGACAATTGCTAAGTTGGTACTTAATAGATTGGTAGGTATCATGAGGCGGAACCAAAGAGCTAAGGAATAACAACGTTATTGCGCGAAGAACTTTGACTATTCCCTTCCAGGGGATACGATATATATATATATATATATATAAACCTTCCTTTATCTGTAGCCAAGGGTTAACCGCCAATAAGGCAGCTTCATATAAGCCAACTCCCGATCATTCTAGGCTATTAGCTAACCCTGGCAAGATCTCTAACTATCAGCTCTCACGGAGGCTTCTGACATTAGGTATTAACACAACTTAAGAAAGCAACAAATTGAGGTAGATTACCAAGCTATGTATCAGCTAAGGTGAGCTAATCATCCTCTATAAATTACACATGCTGTTATTACTACCTATTCATTCTAGTTTCGGCGTTGCTCTGAAGGATAGGTACCTAGGTACTTAACGTCCGTCATCCCCTGATAAGGGATTAGTAATCAACTGACATGGGTGTTGATCATCAATAGGGGTACGCGTTTGCCCAACCACAAACGTATCTATTCTACTTTCATTTAACTACCTAAGGACTCTCAGTTTGAATTCAGTACTCTAAGACCAAGTGTATTATGGATGTAAAAGTGGCTTCTCTAGGTACCAATATTCATATTCTTCCTTGCTTGGGGCGTCTTGGGTGCTAGATACCTGGTAGGTAAGTGCCTAGCTACAGGATTTTCTACCATGTGGCATGACAATTGTACCACATTATAATAGATTGATATAAGCGGCTTGTAAAGTAAGACATCCGCAAGCATACCTTATCGTATTAAGTATTTTATACTCCTAATATGATTATCTTGGAGCTTAGTATAAGGAGGGTGTTACAAAGCTTCGAGTGCTATTCCCGACTATAAGAGGAGTCACCACAAATTGAAGGCAAACAATACAATGAGACTTCTACTGAATCAGCTGGTGGAACGTATTTCCCTATTCATTGGATCTTCTTGGTCTAAATTTGCACTTCCTCGGGAGAGGATAGTTGAAACACGTTACTATTCGTTCACGTCACATAGGAAATCCCAGAGATAAGCATGTTAGTTACATCCGTGTATCACACTAGACGGCTATCACGGACCCTTGCGTGAATCCAGGCTTCACCGATGGTTTCTATATTATATTTGGAGCATCCGCTTTCCTAGCCATGGTATCAACACCCAAACAACGCCCAACACGAAAAGATGGCCCAAGAAATCTCTTTCGATATCACGCCCGAAAAGCAAGCTAGCCAGCTACAATTCCTCCGTAGACAACTCTTTGGGGGACCACCAGTACTATCTCGGCGCGATTTTGATCTGAGCGGTAAAACAGCTATTGTGACAGGGGCCAATGGTGGTCTGGGTCTTGAATGCTCACGACACCTTCTCAATCTCGGTGTTAGCAAGCTTATCATTGCAGTTCGCAATGAAGCTAAGGGCGAAGCTGCCCGAGAAGCCCTCACGACAGTGCTTGAGGTTGGCCAATCCATTGAGGTCTGGAAGCTTGACTACTCTTCATACGAGTCTATTCAAGCCTTTGCACAGCAGGCCGAAGATCTGAAACCTCGGCCTGATATTGTCATTCTCAACGCGGCATTCAATCGCACCGACTTTGCCCTAAACCTAGAGACGGGCCACGAAGAGGTCCTGCAAATAAACTACTTGTCAAACGTTCTGTTAATACTTCTGTTCCTCCGCATCTTCAAGAATACCAAATCCGTCACCAGCCCGGGGCGTATCACCGTCGTGTCATCTGACATGGCTGGGTGGGCCAAGTTTGACGAGCGGAACGAGGTCCCACTACTAAAGGCCTTTAACAAGGAAGCCAGTTATGACAAATTCGACCGCTACTCCACCACCAAGCTTTTGTCTCAATTATTCGTGTCTGAAATAGCTAAGCGGGTGTCCCCGTCGCTGGCTGTCATTAACTGCGCTAACCCCGGTCTTTGCTGGGGCGGGATGATGGGCGGCGAGACTAGTGCGATCTCCAACGCTTTTATACGCATTATCTGCCGTTCTTTGTCAACAGGTGCTCGTGCGCTTGTGGATGCCGCCGTCCGACAAGACGAGAGCTCGCATGGGCAGTATGTTGAGGACGGAAAGCTGAGGCCGTGAGTTGTCCCCCCCCCCCCCCCCCCTTTTAGTTGTCGATGATTTGCCCCTATCTTGCCCCTTGTTAGCACTGGCGGGTAAACTCCTGCTGATATTTATGAATTGATATCTTACCACCCCCCCTCCCCAAAATATTGATGACGAGACTTACATAAATCTATTAGGATGGCTCCTTTTGTGTATTCTGAAGAGGCAGAGCAGTTGACCCAACAGCTGTGGAAGGAAACGATGGAAAAACTGTCTTCCGCGGGGGTTAAAGAAATTGTGGAGAGCTTAGCTCAAGCTTAGAGCTGAATGCTCTTTTCATGGGGTTTGTGAAACGCAGTTGGAGGATTTACGAGGATAAGTAGAGGCGATACTTGGATTTTCCGATATCACGACTTGGATGATATTTCTATCATTACTCAAGGTGCATAATGAATTTACCATAAGCAATTGTAATGTTGTCACTGCTGTTCTCCTATTATCTTAACAAGATCTCTTCCTCTTTACCATTTTGAAATGCATCGATATGGACCTGACCAATCCCACGCCTCTCCACCCTGCCATTCTTCTCCTCGGATAGTAATAGGACGTTGAATAGAGGCCAGAAGACTTTTTCGCTGTAATATCTTGCGTCAAAAGGGCCCCTGTTCTCTTGCGGGCCATCATAGTCCTTCTTAAAAACATTTGACCTATCCACCCTGAAGTTTGACCCAGAATTTATCGTGTAGCCATCTGCCGCTGATAAGTCACCCGCAATCCAATTTTCGAATGGTTTAATATATTCTTCATATTCCGCTTCCTGAATCCCCTCTTTTTCTGGGTTTGGCGCATCTACCCAAGACTTAAAGGTCTTCGATTGCTCATCCCAGCTAATGTCCATGTCATTGCGGTAGAGGGTTGATCGAGAGAGAGCTAGGAACCCGTGTTCTCGATTCTGGAGTTGAGGCACAGTGCGCGCATCTACAAGCACCCTTCCAGCAGCCCGACCCTTAGCATCTAGAATGGCTAAGTTGCACTGAACATGGTGGTCATTGCGACAAGTTGCAACAGTACCGGCAGATCCAGAGTGTTGTCCAGTAAGACGAAGTCTAGCAACTTGCCCTTGAATGCGCAGGACCGGAGACAACTCATTAGACAAGAGATGATTGATTTATTGTCCTGTGACCCATAGCTGACGCGGATATCTATATGATCGAGATTCCTTTTCCGAAAGACGGTAGTCTGAAAACTGGTAGTATATCTCGGACGCCTCGTCATCATAATGTCGCGTCCAGTTGTTTTGGTCTTCCATCAACGTAATATTGGCTGCCACAGGTGTGGCTGAGTGACATATTTCAATGTCAGCCTCGATAGTCTTTATACTACATTGGCTGACGGTATGCTCGCATAGATTTGTCAGCGTGTCCGTCTCAATGTAATCATACGCCACAGCTCCATTCCAACCCGCCCAAGACCAACTTGGGAAGGTCGAATTTTCACGCGTGCATGGGCCCACCGGCATCCAGAGTAGTGCTATGTCAAACATTGATACCGGGAGGCCGAAGAAAAACGGGCATTTGAACGGTCGATATAGCCGACCTAGTATTCCATCGAAAGCTCTGACTTTGTCCATAGGATTGGTGATGGACCGTTTTGTATATTCGGATACGGCAAGGGCGTAAACTTCAAATACGTTGTTCCTCTCATCCAACCTAGAAGCAATGTCAAATGCGGTGAAGTGTGTTCCTTCATAGCTCGTATGGAACTATTCGTCGTAATCACACCTTTTATTACAACAAAAAGTGACGTAAAACGAAGTGAAGATTTATAACAAAGGGAATACGTTTAAAATATAAGTTTAATTTATATAATAATTTTTTAAGGGTTTTAAGTTTTTAAATTTTTTTTTTTTTCGAAAAAAAATTATTTTAATTATTTAAATTTAATTTATTATATTTAAAATTTAAATTTTAACGCTTTAAACGTTTATAAATATTTTATTAATTAATTTTATATATATATAATAACTTGGTAATTATTTTTAATAATTAATAAATTAATTATTTTAATTTAATAATCTTATATTTTATATATATTAAAAGCGTGGCACTTATCGCTATATAATAAAACTAAAAGCCTTAAAAGTAAAACATGTTCCTGGTAGGTCCAGCCCCTTTTATTCTAATAAGTAGCGTTTACATCGGAGTAAAGCCGATTGGATATAGTAACCCCCTGAATGGTAACTCTCTTCTGCTTTATAGATCGAGGAAGTTCAGGAGATACGCCAGGTATTCCATGATCTGCGTCACTGCCAGCCGCTGCGACAATCGTCAAAAGCGCTTCGCTATAGATCCGGCACATCTGCCCCACGTTTGCCTGAACATTTTGAACGTCGTCCTGCACTATACACAGAGCGTCAACCCAGAGATAACGAAACCCTAGATAGCGCACTGCCTGCATCGCATCTATGATAGTCCGGGAAGGGCAGAATCTCCTGTTATTGAAGCATCCTGCCGTAGATAAAAATGACTCATTATCTCGTTTAAGTTTCAATGCTTGATCTTTGCCCCATACGTAACTCAGAGCGATGTAGTGTGCCCCGCGAGGAAGGATTACAACGCAGGCTTGGCATACATCGATGACGCGTAGCTCCAGCTGATCTTCTAGCTTTACTAGGTTGACAAGTTTGTCGTTGGAGTGTTTAGATGAACACGATGCTAGCCAATCTTTAAGTATAGACCAATCGATCACATCCGGCTGAACAGTCCTCCCAAAATGCTGTGGATGTTTACCCGTACTCTGGTTATTCCGTAGGGCAATCACTCGAGGGTTGCTAATAACACTCGCATCATAGTTTCGGCCTAGCCTTTCAGCGCGTAGCATGGAAAATTCATCGTTGGTCAGATCAAACAACCCGAAATCGATATAATAGGGGATATCGTTACTAGCGGATTTCTTGGAATCATCGTGATATACATCCAAGGGTCCCCAATACATATACACTATTGGGCAAGCATCTGAGAGTAAAGTCACCTCAACGGGTTTCTTGCCCCAGTGCGTCTCGAACGTGTATTTCACGAGCCCACAGAATTGGCACGAAGTTTCCGACCAGATTCTCCTTAGAGTGCCGAGTTTCGTTTCTTTCGATGCGTATTCATAGTGGTCCCCCGACCCCTTAAAAAGGGATCCAAAGGATATTGTCCGGCATCCTTGACACAGGCCGGCGTTAGACATGTTGGAGATCGAAGTACCAATTTATTTCTCGAGACAGTGCCCGAGGCCGAGTAGTTGAACAGAGAATAGAATAGGGTTATTAGCTGAGGCGTCGATATCCTTCTCAAGGGTCGTCCATAATAGGGTTTCGATACAAGGCTTTGAGAACTTTTAGTTTGGATAAACGGTATTGGAATAAGCACAGGTACCTACATATAATAAGTGATAGAGTTATTGTATTTGGATAATGGGGGTAAACCTCCAGCCACTTAATATCCCAACAGGCGCCACCAGACATGATGGTGGTAGGCACGGAAACGATCCGACCAGCTTCTTTAAATAAAACGTTAACAGTATGAATATGCTCTTATACACTGTAATGCTGTATTAAAACGCCCTTCCAGGATGGAGATTCAGTACCTAGGTATAAATTGCGACCACCCTGTCGACAAATCCTGCGTGATCTAAGAATGACAATAACCGCTCCATAACATGGAGTCTGGTGTTTAACAACGTCCTATATCGTGTAATGTGACTTTACTTGCGTACAGTACAGCTGCGCTATTAGTAGCCAATATCTGAGTCCACAAACGACCAATTCTTCCAATGAACGCTCTCGTCCTAAGCTTTCACCTGGGCAATGCATAGGTTAGAGCACGTGATCTTGACGAAGACTTGGCCTGAGAGGAGATTTGGAGTTGCTCGTTTTTATCGACTTTTATCACTTATATTATATGCCTATATCTATATGGGATAAGGCAATCAATACTCATTTTACCGAATTGTATCACGTACCTAGGTACCTAGGTACCTCAGATGTTACGCCTACCGAGCTCTTGAGGGCTGTCGACCAATTGCACGATTTCGTATGAGATTACCGGTGATTCGCTGGAATGAGGAGGGGGTCGGAAACAATAACCAGTGTCAGCCGCACGAGGCAGGCGGTTAATGGACTTGATCTTTTCTGCTCTAGCTAGCAGGATGCCCAGATTCGCTACTCCTCCTCTACCTCATCAGAATAGCTTATGAAATTATCGTCATAGACTCATAATGCCTTCGTGGAGAAAGAAGTTGTTCAAGAGATCAAGTCACGATGCATCCAGTGCCGCATCGCGGTCTCTGCCAACGACGGACGTTGGATGGCCTCACGGGCTAGAGGTCGTGTACGAAGGCCCTGAAGCTAGTCTCGAGTACGCAATCTCCCCTGATGCACTTGATAGAATGGACTTTACTGAATTATTAACTACTTAGCATTGTCGCAATTCATGGCCTGAATGGTCACCGAGAAAACACGTGGACCGCAGATAACGATGTCCACTGGCTACGTGACTTGCTTCCGAAAGACTTACCTAACGTCCGAATTCTGACCTGGGGCTACGATGCCAACACGCATGCTAGTGATAGGGTGAACTGTCAATATATATATGACCACGCTCGAGAGCTTGTGGGTGACTTAACCCGCATGCGAACTCTGACTAACGTCTGTTGCCCCCCTTTATGTGATCATGGCAGCATTGGAAATTAACACACCGTAGTCCAACGAACGGCCGATCATTTTCGTGGCTCATAGCTTGGGAGGCATTGTGGTCAAAAGCGCAAGCACTCCTGTTCCCCCAAGTTGCGATTTCCCTCTGACTTACTTGACCCAGGCCCTCATTCACGCTGACGCCGCCCGTCAAGGTGCGCATTACGAACATCGATCGGTGAAGACTTCGACTTATGGTATTATCTTCATGGGCACTCCTCATCAAGGCGGTACCGGTGTGAAGCTAGGATGCTTCTTAGTGAATATTGCGTCTATATTTGTAGCGGCCGACGATCGCGTGTTAAAGCATCTAGAAAGAGACTCCGAATTGTTGCAACAGCAACTTGGCCAGTACGGTCCGATTAGCGGCGACTTTGTGACCAAATTTGCTTACGAGACATATGAGACTTCCACCCTACTCGGTCATAAGATGATGGTGCGTGCTGAATACTACTTCACTCTTTTGGCAGACGGCTAATAATAGGCGCAGGTAGTACCAAAGGCGTCGGCGGTCGTACTTGGGCAGGCCGATGCCGAACCAATTGCCATCTATTCAGACCACATCCATATGGTTAAATATCCTTCGAGAAATGATAGGGGATATAGAAAAGTTTCGGAGAACCTGCAGATCATGGCAAAGGACGCTGTGGAAGCTGTCCGGTCGCGGTGGGAGGCGGAGATCCGGTTGGACAATGGTGGGCACTGATAAACGTTTCCTCCACGTCGAATTAGTTATTTTAACCAGTGGTTTCTAAATTAGCGCGAAGAAACAATCCTACCTCGTTCTCACTGCCTCTCGACTTATCGCAGGTTACCGATGTGCCCCGTTTCGTAGCAAGGGAAGATGAGATCCAACGAATGCATGGGATCTTAAGAAAGGCCGAAGGCCGTCGGACGGTCATCCTGCATGGGCTCGGCGGCATTGGTAAGACCCAGCTAGCAAGAGAGTACATTAAGCGTCACCGAGACCACTTTACTGCTGCGGTCTGGCTGAACGCACGAGACGCGACATCGTTGCAGCAGAGCTATTTGCAAACAGCTCAACGGATACACAATCGTGCACCGGTGATTTACGTCAGCAATGCCGTCCAGAACCAGGACCCCAAAGAATGTGTGGAGGCTGTCAAACGATGGTTGGATGAGCCTGCTAATGATGGCTGGATCGTTATCTATGATAACTACGATGATCCCAAGTTCGGTGCTCCTCAACCTTTCAACGGGGAAAGCAGTGAAAATGCGGGTCGTGGTCTGCTTGTAGATGAACACAGCCAGGCCGCGTCACGGGACGAGTACTTCGCCCAGGGAGCGTTTGATATTCGACCGTTCCTTCCCGTCACTGACCATGGCGCTATCATCATGACGACCAGATCTGCCGAAGTCGAACTTGGTGAATATATTAGGGTAAAGAAACTGACCGACCCGAAAAGTGGCCTCGACATTTTGGCTTCTACCTCCCGTCGAGAGGAGATTGATCAAGGTACGTATAGAAACGGTAACCGGGTCATTGGGTTGCTAACACGTCCCAACAGACAAAGATGCTGGGGACCTCGTCAAGCTTCTTGATGGGCTTCCTTTAGCCCTCGCGACGGCTGGCGCATACCTAAAGGGGGTCCCTGCAACGACTTTTGCCGACTATATCACATTATACAAGGAATCATGGGAGCAACTACAAAAGAGCACTCCACGAATCATGTCATACGAGGACCGTGCCCTTTACTCAACTTGGAACATCTCTTTCCTACACATCAAACACCAAAATCCAGCGTCGGCAGCACTACTCCGCCTGTGGGCGTATTTTGATCACGAGGATTTGTGGTATGAGCTATTACATGAAAGACGCAAGTCTCAATACCTTCAGGGGATTGTGGGCGACAGAATCAACTTTGATAAGGCCATCCGCGTACTGCATGATCATGGCTTGATAGAGGCAGACATATCGATCGAAGAAAGAGCGGGGGAATCACAGGGCTATAGTATGCACGGGTGTGTACATTTATGGACACAGCACATACTAAATGAGGACCCACATGGAGAAGGTTTGCAGATGGCACGGGTAGCCATGGAATGTGTCGCCTGGCACGTACCACAAGAGGACTCTAGGGAATATTGGTTGATTGAGCGCCGACTTCTAAAGCACGTCGACCGGTGCTTGACAAGGATGGAGCAATCCATACAGTTGAATAAAGGAGTCGAATATGTTTGGTCGAATTTAGGCCTATTATATGCGCGTCAAGGTCAACTAGCAAAAGCGGAAATACTACAGGAGCGAGCTCTTTAAGGTAGAGAAAAGGCATTAGGACCTGAACACACATCAATGTTCGATATAATTAATAATCTAGGTCTTGTTTACCGGAATTAAGGTTGATTGGAAGAAGTAGAAGCAATGTATAAACGAGTTCTTTAAGGCTATGAGGCATTAGGACCTGAACATATATTAATGCTTGATATAATTAATAATTTAGGTCTTGTTTATCGGAATTAAAGTTGATTGGAAAAAGTAGAAATAATGTATAAACGAGTTTTTTAAGGCTACGAGAAGGCATTAGGACCTGAACATATATTAACGCTTTAAATAGTTAACAATCTAGGTGTTTTTTACTGGAATTAAGGTAAATTGGAAAAAGGAGAAGTAATGTATAAACGAGCTTTTGAAGGCTGCGAGAAGGCATTAGGACCTGAACACATATCAACGCTCCAAACAGTCAACAATCTAGGTGTTCTTTACTGGAATCAAGGTAAATTGGAAAAAGGAGAAGTAATGTATAAACGAGCTCTTAAAGTCCGCGAAAAGGCACTAGGACCTGAACACCCATTAACGCTCGATATAATTAATAATCTAGGTGTTTTTTACTGGAATTAAGGTAAATTGGAAGAAGCAGAAGTAATGTATAAACGAGCTTTTGAAGGCTGCGAGAAAGTATTAGGACCTGAATATCCATTAATATTTGATATAGTCAACAATCTAAGTGTTCTTTACTGGAATTAAGGTAAATTGGAAGAAGTAGAAGCAATGTATAAACGAGCTTTTGAAGGCCGCGAGAAAGTATTAAGACCTGAACACCTATTAATACTCGATATAGTTAATAATCTAAGTGTTCTTTACTGGAATTAAGGTAAATTGGAAGAAGTAGAAGTAATGTATAAATGAGCTTTTAAAGGTTACGAGAAGGCATTAAGACCTGAATACCCATTGTTGTTGTTGTTGTTATTGTTGTATTGTTTACTGTTTAAGCGAACGGGCGTGGGCTTTTCTTTGTAACTTCCCTGGGGGTATGGGACGTGATAAGCTTTAATATATATAAAACTAAAGGTTTTAATGATATTATAATGTTAAACCTTGTTTTTAGGGGTTTAATATTCTTTGATTAGCGATTATTATTTATTAATTAATTTAATTTTAAACTTTTCTAGCTTTATAGGTTTAAATTAAATAGTTAGTTTAATAAGTGATTATAAGGTTTTATATTTTATGGTTCCTTTAATAGGTTTTTTTATTTTTATATTTATAAGTTTATTTATATTTTCCGGTAAAGGTTAATTATTTTAAATATTAAGTTTTTAGTTAATATTTTTATTTTTTCCCCCCCTTTTTTTTTATTAAATTTATTAAACTTTTAAATGTTTATATAAAAAAAATATTTATAAATAAAAGTTATATAAGCTTTGTAAAGGCTTTATATTTTAATTCCTCTTTGTTATTTTTTTCTTTAGCTTTTAAGGCTTTTCGTTTTTTTTTATTTTTTATTATGTAACATTATTTCTTTTTTTTCTGGAAAGGTGGGTTTATTTCCGTAAAGTAATTAATGGTTTTATAAAATTTCTTAAACTTTAATGGGTTTTTTAATAACTAGGTTTAATAAGTTAATTATTTTAAAGAATTAATTAATTTAAGCTTATGAAACTTTATTAATTAACTTTTTTTTTTTTTAATTTAAGTTGTCCCGCTTTTTGTTTAATTTTAAAGGTTTAAGTTATTTTTTCAGGGTAACTTTTAATTTTTTATAATGTATTATATACTTTAATTTTTTTTTTTTCCTACCGTTTTTATAAAATATATAAGTGTAATATATTTTAACTTATAAGTAATTAAATTTATTATAATATTACTTATAATCCCCGTATATTAAAATGGTATTTAAATATTATTTTAAAATTTTCCTTAATAATTATAATGTTAATAAAACTTTCCTTAATTTATAATTAATTTTTGTTGTTAAAAAGTTGTTAAAAATGTTTGCCCTTTTATACTAATTCGCCGTGATGTTTTTAATTTAAGTTTTAGCCTAGTATTTAATTTTTGTTGTTATAAGTTTTAATGCTAGGTTTAGGGGATTTTTTATTGTACCTTTTTTTATTAAAGCATTTATCTTTTTATTATTTTTTATTTTATAATGTTTAGGGTATTATTTTAATGATATATTTAATGAGTTTATTATTTTATAAATTATTATAATTATATTTTAAAAAATAGTTAGGATATCCTTTTATATATTTTAAATAATTATTATATTATTTATGTATAAGGTTATTTTTATTTTTAAGAATAATGTTATTACTTTTTTTAATTTTTTAAAGGTTTTTAAAGTTTTAGTATTGAATATTATTTTGTATAGGTTTATATTTTTTTTCTTTTTTACGACTTTAATATGCTTTTTATATATTATAAAGTTATAATTTAAGCCTTTTTTCGTTTTAAAACCATTTAAAAATATTATAATATTTTAAAGGGATTTTTTTTAAAATTATTGTTTAAATTTTTTTGCTATTATTTTTTTATCTTTATTTTTAGTAGGATTTTTTTTTAATTTTATTTTAAAACGGGGTAAGTAAAGTTTATGTTTTTTAATTAATAAAAATAGTTTTATTATTAATTATAAGTTTATATAAACCGCTTATAATTACTTTATTTTTTTTCCCTTAAATATTTTTTTAAATATTATTTTAATTATTAATGGGTGGCTTTTATGAATTATTTATAGCTTATAAGCATATTAATATTATGTTATTTTTAGTATTATATTTACTATAATTATATTTATTATTACGAATAATGTATTTTTTAAAAAAGTTTTTTAAATTAATAAAACTTTTTTAATTATTTTTAAAAAAGCTTTATATATAAGTATTATATATTTTTCTAGTTTAATATTTATAAATTTCTTATAATTATTAGTAATTTTTTTTAGTAGCTTAATTTATTCTTTATATTATATTTTATAATTATATAATAAAATTAATAAAAGTATTATATGGATTATTTTATATAATTTATTTATTAAAAATTTTTTATTAATTATTAAAAATCTTTTAATATAATTAGTAATTTTTATAACTTTTATTATTTTAATTTTAATATATTTTTTATATTTTAATTTTTTATCCAAGTAAATTTTTAATTATTATAAAGTTAATAAAACGTTAAGTTTTTTTAAGTTTAAAAGTAATATTAGCTTTATTTTAACTTTATTCCTTAATTTAATAACAAGGTTTTTTTTACCCCTTTTTTTTATAAAATATATAACTTTTATTTTCTTTAAAGTAAACATTATTTTATTTTTTTCTTTATATTTTAACATTTTATTTATTTCTTTTTAAGTTACTTTTATACTTTCCTTTAATGTTTAATTAAAAGTTAATATTATAATATTATTTATATACCCCCATTTATAATTATTATTTTTTAATAACTTATTAAAGTATAACATATATAATATAAAAGAAAATGGTAATTTTTATAAAATGTTATATTTCATTTTTTTAACCTTAATAATAATCCTTTTTAAATAAGTAATTACTTTTTTATTTATAAAAAAATTTTTTATAAAGTTTAATATTTATTTAAACCAACCTTACTTTATTATATAATCCAACAACTTGTTTTTAAATATTATATTAAAAGTTTCTTATATATTTAAAGTAATTAACATTATTTTTTTTTTATTTATTAATGTAAATTTAATGTTATATATTAAGTTTATTATTAAGTTTATAATGAATTTTTTAAATATTATTTTTATATATTATAAATTAATTAATTTATTTTATAATGTTATTTATATTATTTTTTTTATTATTATTTTTTTTAAGCTTTTCTTTAAATATAATAATAATGTAATAAGCTTTTATATTTTATAAGTTATAAAATTTATTTTATCTACTTTTAATATTATTACCACTTTAATTTTTTTTTATATGTTGGAAAAAACTTTTATTTTTAAACATTTTTTTAATAGTTTTATATAATATCCCGTAAAAAAAGGTTAAATTATTTTTAAATATTTTATTATTATTATATTTATCCTTAATAAGGTAAATAATATTTTTATAACATATTTTTTTACTTTTTTCTTTATAATTTTAATGTTTTATAATAAATATTTCCTTGTAATGGCAAATGCTTTATTCGGGAAATTATTATTAAGGTTAAAATGGAATAATATAATATTTATTAAATATTTTATTTTTTTTTTTATGTTTTTAATTACCTTATTTTTTATTATAATCAAGGAAGCCTTAATTTATTAATTTAGCTTATATTAATTTATTACCTTTATTAAATCTTTATTATTTTTATATTCATTTTTAAATTTATTCTAAAATTCATTTTATACTTTTTAATAAATTATTAAAAATTCTTTTTTAACTAATTTAAAAGATTTTAATTCATTCGCTTCCTTCCATTTTTCCCAAGTTATTTAACACTTTTCCAACCACCATAAAAAAACTTTCCCCTTAATGTAATATAACTTTCTTACTACTTTAATATATCCATTAATTAATTTTAATAAACTTTCCACTACATTATTAATATCCTTTATAATATTCACTATAATAATATCCAATAAATTAAAAACTTTAACCTACATTAAATTTATTAAACATTTTAATTTATTTTTTAATATTTTTTAAATTCAAGCTTTTTTTACAAATAATTTAATATTTTTACCTTAAAAAATAATTTTTAATAATAAATGATTTAATTTATACCTTAATTCTTTTATTACTTAACTTTCCATAAATAATATATTTAAAAAAAGTAGGTTTAATATATAACTTTCTTTATAAATAACCACTCTTAGTTTCTTTATAAAGTTTATACTAAACTTAACAAACCAATTCATTAATTTCCGTCCATCATTCTTAATGTTTATTCCCAGCTTTTATACCGGGTAATATAAATTTACGTTACTTATTATTAAATAATTTTTTAAAGGTTTAAAAATTATAAAATAATTAATTACCAATTTTATTTCAAGTTTTTTATAATAATTTAAATATAAATAACTATTAACATCTAATTATATAAAATCCCTATAATAAACTTTTTAATAACATTTTATTAATAATTATAAATTTTTTTTAACATATATTATAACTTTTAATTTATTTATTTCCTAAATATCCTAAATATTTATAAATAAATATTTATTATATTTTAAATATTCCATTATAATATTATTAATACATTTTAATATTTATAACTTTATAATTATAACTATATTTATTCCTTTATTCCAACATTACTATAAAAATATTTTATATATTTTTAAATTTTTATTAACATTATAAAAAATTATATTAATTATTTTAAGTTCCAAAGGTTTATAATAAATTCATTTTTTATTTATAAATTAACAATTATTAACTTTTAAGTTTATACTTTATTACTTTAAATACTTCCTTACTATTTTTTTAATTATTAATTTTATTTTAAGCTTTTTATTTACTTTTTTTAAGTATATAATTTTAGTTTTAAACTAGATTATTTTTATAATAAACCTTATAATTAAAATTAATATAAAAATCATAATAATAATTTCACTTTAAAAATCCATTATTTCTTTATTTTTTATAATAAAACTTTTAATATTAATTATATTAGTAATAGTAATAATCTCACTTTATAACTTTTTTATAAAAATTAATAAAGCTTTTTTTTTATTAATAATATTTTATTATTAAATTTTTTTAAAAAAATTCTTTTCCTTTAATAAAATTATTCTTATAGCTTTTATAAGGAAATTTTTTATAATATATTTTTAATTTCCAACCCTTTTAATTACCTTTAATTTAACTTAATTAAAAAAAATAACTTACTTATTAATCTTATAAAGTTTATATAAGTAATTTTTATAATTTACTAAATAAAATTTATAATAATTAATATATTTAAGTAATTAATCGCAAATACTTTATAATATAAACTTATATTTATTTAAACGTTTATTATAATTTTTATAAAGTGGTTTTTTATTATAATATTTTATAATATAATAATTTTAATACTTTAAGTTATAATAAGTAATATAAGTTTATTTTTTAATTTTTCATAAGAAATTATTTACTAAGAATAATTTAAAACGTTTAATATTTTCCTTAAAAATTATAATTTAAATGGTTGCTTTAAAGGTAAAATCCACGTTATTTTATGAAATATATATGTTTATAAAAGTTAAATTAACTTATATTTTTACTTTTTTAATAATTATTTTTTAAGTAATATTTATAAATGTTTTTATAATAAAATTAATTATATTAATTAATACTTTAAATATTATATACATTAACCATTTTTTTAAAATTTTTATTGCTATAATATATAAGATACTTTTAATTATATTCTTTTTTCTTTCCTTTAAAAGTTAATTTTTAATAGTTAAATTAATTATTTTAATCGCTTATTTTATATTCATTAATTATAAATCTTTAATAAACTTTAAAAAAAGTTTTAAGGTTTTTATTAAAGTTATTTAAACGGCATATAAAAAGGGTTAAACTTTTAATTAATTTTAAAGTAATTATATTAATATACAAATGTTAAATTTTTTTACTAAAATTAATCACTTATTAACTAAATTAATAAATGTTTTATTGAAAATTATTAAAAATATTATTATTAATGCTTTTATAATTAATTTAAGTGCGATTTTAATGCCGCGTTTAATTATTTTAATGTACGATATTAAGTTATTTAAATAAAGTTTTAACCTTGTAATTTTAATCTTAACTTAAGTATTTATAAGGTATAATAATGTTATAAAGTTATTGCTTAATTATATATATATTAAAATATTAAAATATTGTCCGAAAATTTTAATGTATTCCCGGACGATTTTTTTGTATTTAATTTAATTATTTTTTTTAAATGATTGTATAAAATTATTTAAAGTTATTATAAACTTTATAATAACCTTTTTTTAAATTTTAGCCTTTTATTTTACCTTAGTAAATTATTTATTAATTATGTTTTATAGTGAAGATTTAATGTTTGGTATAGCGGGTTTTTTTCTGGTTATTATGGTTATTTTTAAGGGGGGTGTAATGCTTAATAACTTAACCTTTTTTTACTAGCGTAAATTAATTATAATAAATATATCCGGTGGTAATTTTATTATATATTAAGAATTAATTATCACAATAAGACGTAACAGTATAAAAGGTTTTAATATAAGTAGGTAATAAAAATATTACTTATCCATTTTTTAGTGTTTTATTATTTTTGTGTTATTTTTAACGCTTGTTAGTGTTTTGGGTAGTACGTTTGTAATGCCATTAATAATAGCATGCGTACAAATGATAAATGTAAGGAAAAGTGACCTGAATACCCATTAACACTCGATACAGTTAATAATCTAGGTGTTCTTTACTGGAATTAAGGTAAATTGGAAGAAGTAGAAGTAATGTATAAACAAGCTTTTGAAGGCTACGAGAAGGCTTTAGGGATTGAAAGAGTGAAAACATACATCCCAGCGTTAAATACTCTCGAGAATCTTGGCTTCCTTTTTTATGAGCTCAAAGATAAGGAACGATCACGCATGTATTACCTTCGTGCTAGAGATGGGTGTCAGGCTGTCTTTGGCTTATCAAGTTACCGATACTTGGAAATAAATTCTCAGCTTGAGCGTTTGGAGAGCGAGGTTTCCATATAAGGATACAAGTCCACAGTTCTGTGGCCTGATTGGCCTTACGATCATTGATCAGCTTCAAATAAAAGAGAATCTCTACATTGTGTAATTAGACCTCCATGTGCCGGGACAACAGAAGAGTTCTGCATAAGGGCAAGACCTAAGATCAAGAGCGTAAAAAGCGAGATCTTCATGATAGGTACCTAGGTAGAGGTTTCGAGATGGGGAGACATATCAGCCGGACTAGTAGTGACTGGAAATAGAAGATGGGGGCATGATATAGAAGCGATCGGCCAGAGGAGGTTGATTTATCCCTTTTTCGGATTTCGGTTGGCAGATAGGCAGCTTGTTATACGGAAGTCGACAACTAGTTTTGTCGTTAATGATATGCTACGAAGGAAGTTCATCGTGTGATATGGCAAGATGGCCTGGAATGGAGCCCGACAACGATATGACGATAATATTATGACCTAAATTCGGAATGTTTATCTACCTAGGTAGATAATATCAAGGACACAATCGCCATACGAGGCAGTCATCCCTGATAGTCTCCATCATCACCAACTCTCCCAATCCCGCGCAAGCGCTCTGAGAGTTGAGAGTTGTAAGCCATCTTCACGGCTGCCGTCACCTCATCAACCTCGCACAGCCTTCTCGTTCTCCTCGACGTGCTTCTCGCGCACTCGTCCACGCAACCCAGCAACGTGCGCGCGCGGACTAAGGCAGACTTGCGAAGTCACGTCCACGCCGACGGAAAACTGCACTAGGCGACGCTGCCACGTCTCTCCTCGCAGCGGCGCAACACGCACAACATCCCGGAGGCGTGGCGCGACCGACGCGACGAAGGCAACTCCGTTAACAGGAGTAGTACCAGTGCCTATGAGTTATGTAACAACAGCAGCAGCAATAGAAGTAGTAGCAGCGCCAACAATTACCTCAACTTCCGCATCTCCTCGGCCGCGCTGCAGGAGGCAACCCAAAGGAACGGGAGGAGGGGGATGCGAGATTCGTCCTATCTAGGTCTTCTTCGCGCGTCGGAACGTGCTGGAGTGCGAGATCCCGCTTTAGCTGGAAGCACAAGCGTACGGGTTGGCCACGGAGCAGCTGTGGGCGCCGGACGTCCGGGTCACGGCGACGTGGATCCGGGATGGGGATCGGACGCTGTGGAGATGGATCGGGAGGAGCTGAAAAGGGGCTGGAGCGATACGTTAGATTATATGACGGGGCTGTGGTCGAAGGAGGAAGGATTGACGAGAGAGCGGTGTCGTTTGTGGGGGGGAAGGTTTCGGGTTGTGAATTTGAATGGGGGTAGGTTAGATGAGGAGGCGAGGAAGGTAGCTACGGAGGCTGCTGAAGTGGTTAAGGGTATTTTCAAGGAAAATCCGATTCGGGGTATGGAGTGCATCAGAGCTTTTAAGTGGGGAATCAGGGGTGATCTCAAGCTTTCACATTGTTTATTCAGGTAGACTAGGTGGCATGCGCTTCCAAACCTAGAAAAGTAGGAGTACACGATGGTGATGATGGGTTAGGTGAAGTGAGATGCCGTTATTTCAATCATATACTAAAAATTAGAAATGCTATGTGGTGACCCCAACATCCTAATATGCGTCCTCCAAGTTATTCCTTACAATTAGCGAAGATGGTCGTGTAAATGACCTCCATATCTTCTAAGCCAACTTTCCATTCAGGATTAAAGGTGGGGTTAGAGCAGCCCCTATCTTGGACCAAGAAGAAACATCTCGTTTGGTAGAAGTAAAAGTGCCGTTGCCGTAGACACTGTCGATGACATCTTCCCACGTAATGCCGGAATAGAGCGGAGCATCCAACTCACAGACCTTTCCTTCAGGAGGGAGGGTACCGTTTGCCCAATAGGCCGAGGTCGTTCTAATGGTACAGGCAGAAGGTGCAGCCAATGAGGAGTGCTATTTCAGAGATATCGTCAGTGCCCAGTAAATGACAAGACATAAGCCGGAGGGTCAACTTACACCGTAACCAATAACCTCTAGGACAACACTTCCCTCAAATGTAGCGCTGACGTTCTTTGCTGAGACTAGCGGCGTGAGAGCATCATCACTATTGCCGATGAATAGAACCGGATTCTTGGTCTTCACGTTGAAGTCTCCTGTGTATCGCTCCTTCGGCTCGATCTTCCATTGCGCACAGGAAGAATACAGGTTCACCAAAGCGTCACCGACTATAGTCGAATTGTTAGTCTTCGTTGTTTGATCGAAAAGGGGAGGCATCAGAAGCTGCGTACTAATCCTGCTTGTGTTATACATGTGCTGGACAGCCGGCAGAAAGTCTTCGAACTTCTCAGTTCGAACCATGTTATCGCTGCAGTGTATCCCGGCTAGAGATAGCGGTTGTTGGATCGTCGCGAAGATGTCGGTAATCTGCGTCGCGTTCAACGCATCTAGCATATCCTGGAGTACGTCGAACTGCTCCGTAAAAATATAGTTAAGCAATACCGCTAAACCGGGCCACTGGGCACTGTCGTAAAGATCCTGCACTATGATACCCTTCAATGTGCTGTAGTCGACTTTGTAACTTCTAAGAGCGATCGGGTTGTACTTGACGGTGTCTAGGAGATCCCAAACGGCTTGCTCAAGCTCATCAGCTGTCTTGTTGTTACCTTTGGCTAAAGCACAGTTCTCGCGATTTGCTACGCAGCCGGTGAAAATAGACGAAAAGACTTTGTCTGAGTCTGTCCACTCCTGAAAGTCGCTATCGGAAGGCATTAGTACTAGGTACACTCGGGAAAGAATTATCCGTTAACATACGCCTGTGCATGATAATACTCGTGAGGATTTTGCACACCGTCAAGAATCATTCGCTCGATTCTGTCTGGGAACATCGCAGCAATAGTTGCCCCAAGCGTAGTGCCGTATGAGAATCCTAATAGATTATTATTATCAGTTAAATCGGCGAAATATAGCACGGACTGGGATCAAGACGCGACTCACCCCAATACCGCAGTAACCCGTCCTCGCCGAGTGCATCCACAACTTGCATCATATCTCTTGCTGTGAATGCCGAGCTAATGAGACTGCCTGTTTTATTTTGTGACTTAAGACAGGTTTCGGCGACCATTTTCCCGCGGGCCCAGTTGTTTCCTAATTCCACGTCGGACTTATTGGAAGGATTCAGGTCGAAGAACAGTGACCAGGCCTCAAATTCATTGTCATAACATCTCATAGGTATTTTAGAGCCCGCAGTACCACTGTCAGTCAATCAGTACTAATGATACCTCTGTCGAGTTTGGGAAGAAGGGGACGTGGGAAGGAATCATACCGTGGATCGAACGCAACAAGATCATATTGGCGGCCGGTAAGTCTACAGAAATCATTAACATAGTTCCGAATGTTTTCTATCAATCCGAGCAAGTCGTTTTCCCACTTACGCTAGCAATTCCTGTGCTATAGGAGTAACCCCTATTTCATTCCGTGCCGTACCGCCGGGCCCTCCGAAGTTGAAGAGAATACTTCCCTTGGAGGGTTGTACAGGTGCGATGACTTTGACAAGATCAAGTTGTAGAGTCTCGTTGGAATCCTTCTCAGTGTAGTCAAGTGGGACGAGTAAAGTGCTGCATTGTACTGGAACATCGCTAGGGACTTCAGTCTTGTTGCATGGTCCCCACTGCAGTCTCAAAGTCTCATACGATTGGGCAAGGGACAAACTAATGAAGGAAAGCAGTATTGTGTTTCGAAGAGAACTCATTGTCGCTTATTATCGATCTTTCCGCAGGCTCGGTTGATGATGAATGAAGACTGAACCTCAAATCTGGATGAAGGAAGCAATATAAATATTCATGATGCACTCGATGCCTGACGTGACGGCTTACATTAGTTTAAATTATAATGATCACCGATCGTCAGGCTGAGCATTAGAAGATGACTGCTCATAGTCCTTCGACGTTAGAAAGTCCATTATAATTTGCCGTTGAAGATACGCCGTAAATTCGTAGGGCTAGTTGTAGTTGCAGCTGAAGCTTGAGGCGCAGTAGAGTCCCACTCAAGGGCATATACGCCGTATTGTCTAATTGCACTGCCTCCCCAGATAGCTAGGTACCTAAGTATGCCTAGCTGACTGGACAAGGATAATTTTTCAATTGAATATAAAAGGAAAATACGGCGTGTTTTCCGTCTTTTAAAGTACGTGATCAATAAATCAAATACGCATATACGTACAGAGGTCATCCTGAATCGATGCTGCTAACAGGGGTCTCAAAAAATACGGTACGATCAGAAGAGAAAATGAATTTAGAAAAAGGGGGTGGGTTTAATTGAAGGAAGTGGATATTTCTATAAGAAGTTATCCTTATATCAAGATATTCTCTACAATTTATTGCATAACGTAATATCTTAGCCACCTTTAGCCACACAGCCATACTCCTTTCAAGCCTCATCCACGACACGGATAGAACGCGTCTAGGCATCTACGTCATCACCACTACAAACTTGTAAATACACAACTACGAGTACAGCATCGCCTTCACCACTACCGAGCTAATTTTCAAGCCTTCTGAGTAATGACTTGACTTCAATCTTCTTCAAATATTCAGCGTCTCAAGGTTCCAAAACCTTTGTCCGTTTTAGTAGAGTGGGATTCAGGTTGAACCAATCATAATGCGAAGATGGAACCTCATGAAGTCTTGAACGTAATGGAGACGAAGGTCAGTTACGAACATTATAGTATGGTCCGGACCTTCGTACGATGGGTCTTGACTCTATAGTGGCTTACCTATACCTTGTTTCTTTTGCTAGGTCTAACATACGCTCACTCTCTAGCCCAAAGGCTCGGCATCCCTTGCTGCTGTCGTGTCTGCTTTCGTTCCCACATGGGTAAGCACCTTACCAAGTCTATGACCCTCAAATGTTATGTTTTAGCTAAAGTCACAAGGTAACGGGTCTCATCTTTGTGTCAATATTTATCGTCATTCGCCGCTGGTATCCCAACATCTACGCTCCTCGTACGTTTATTGGGAGCATACCCGAGAAGTTAGTACAGGCCATGGACTTCCTGACAATCTGCTAAACCTCAAGCAGAGACCGAACGCCTTCTGTGGGACGGTCGTATTTTAATTGGTTACATACCATGAGAAAGGTTCCTGATAAGTTCGTTTTATATCATCAGTCACTCGACGCTTATCTGTATCTCCGATTTCTGAGGACCACTATTTTCCTCTGTCTCGTTGGTTGCTTTTTCACATGGCCTATCCTCATGCCTGTAAACGCAACCGGCGGGGGCCCCTCAACAGAACTCGACAAGATAGCCATTGGAAATGTTAAGAAAAAGGGGCATTTGTATGCCCACGCGGTAATGGCTTGGGTATTCCTTGGCTTCGTCATGTTCACGGTTGCCCGCGAACGCCTCTGGCTCATTGGACTTCGTCAGGCCTGGACCTTGTCAAAGCCTGTCGCTAGCCGTCTTTCTTCCCGCACTGTCCTTTTCCTATCAGCGCCAAGAGATGCCCTCGAAGAAAGTAGTTTTCGACAATTTTTCGGAGAAGAAGCTTTGCGTATTTGGCCGGCCACGAAGATCGAGGCACTGGAGAGTCTAGTATCGAGCCTGAAGTCCAAGGTCGAACAGCTCGAGATAGCAGAAATGGCACTCATACGCAAGGCCAATCAAGCAAGGAGAAAGCTTGCAAAGAAACTTCGCTCGCAGGATGGTAACCTAAGCTACGACGAGGTCGTTCCCGATTCGGTTATGAAATCAATCAGACCGAAACACAAGCCAAATGTCTCTCCATTGAATGAGAAGGTCGATAGTATTGAGTGGTTGCGCGATAGGATCAAAGAGGACGAGGAAAAGATCGAAAATGCAAGAAGATTGCATGAAATTGGTGATACCAAGGGGGCAGCAGCTGTGTTCGTTGAGTTCAGAACGTGTGCCGAGGCTCAGAAAGCATATCAAAACGTCACCTCTAGCAACTTATTAGCCCTTAATCCTAGATATACCGGCCTTTCACCACACGAGATAATCTGGAATAATATTGCTATTCCGCCTGCTCGTCGCATATCCGGAGAGGGCACTGCCCTAGCCATTGTCGTTGCGACAATCGTCTTCTGGTCCATTCCGAGCGGTATTATCGGCCTGATCTCTAATATCGGCTACCTTGCTGATACCTATGAGTGGTTAAGTTTCCTGAAAAATTTGCCAGACCCTGTTATTGGTGTTCTATCTGGTTTAATTCCACCGCTGGCTACAAGTTGGCTAAGCAAGATGGTACCGAATATATTCAGGTGTAAGCATCTAACCTCTGGCACCTACCTCCGTTCGAAGAATAAGCTAATTAAGCTAAAGATATATTCAAGTCGTTCGGTAGCCCGACCAACACCGCTGCCGAACTGCGCGTTCAAAAGTGGTACTACATATTCCAAGTAACACAGGTCTTCCTTGTCACTGCAGTCTTCTCTGGGGCAGCACCTGTGGCAAAGGAGCTGATGGACAGAGTCAAGGACCCCACTTCAGTCCCCGAGTTGTTAGCGAGACAACTTCCAAAGGCATCAAATTTCTACCTGACATATTTCATAATTCAGGGAACCACCTCGGCCGCTGATAATCTGCTCAATTATTCGGATCTCCTATCATTTCTTTTCTGCGGTTACCTCTTCGATAAGACGCCGCGACAGAAGTTCAACAGATACACGAGTATGAAAGGAATTGCGTGGGGCAAGTTGTTTCCGAAGGTCAGCTTAATTGAATTTGTCGCAGCTTCTTAACCCTATGCTAACTAGATACAGTTTGCCAACTTCGCAATCATCGGTTGGTTCAATGCATCTTCTCTTCTCTACTTTCTGGTTCACTCACTGTTCACAGCAATTTCCTACTCCTGCATCGCACCCCTAGTCCTCGGCTTCGCTACTCTCGGCCTGTCACTCTACTACTTCTCATATCGCTACAACCTACTGTTCGTGATCCAACCAAAAATAGATACCAAAGGTCAGGCTTACACATTAGCACTCGAACACCTTCTTACTGGTGTCTACATCGCCGAATTATCTCTTTTGGGCCTCTTTGGTTTGAGGAAAGCAACAGGTCCATCTATCATAATCATGGTTTTATTCATAATTACTGTGCTTTATAATATGCTAATGAACAAGTACCTTGCGCCACTCGAGAAATCTCTACCAACTGACCTTACTATTCTATCCGAGAGGGATGACGAGTCGACGCCACTTCTATCATCTGCAGAGGAAGGACAAGCACAGACCAATTCTCGTATCCAACGGCTTGGGCAACGCGCACATGTTCCGCCAGCCGTCGCGCAGCGCATATTAGATCCAATAGCCCGCTTTTTCGAGCCTCAAGTCTTCGCATCGCATCAGGCCATGAGAGCATGGCTTCAAGAAGGAGACACCTACGATAACGAAGCGGACACACCGGTATACACGGAAGAGCAAATCAAGAAAGCATACTTGAACCCAGCGCTTTCGAGCACTACACCTGTGATATGGATTGCCAAGGATTCTATGGGAGTTAGCCGGAACGAGATCACGGAAAATGAGCAGAGGGGTCTGAAGGCTAGTGACCAGGGCGCCTGGCTCGACGAGAAGGGTAAGCTTAGGTGGAGCACTCAAGATTTTAGGGAAGTGCCGATTTGGAAACAAGGTATCATCTACTGAGAGTGAGGCACTGATAAGGGGTCAATCATTTTTATCAGATGTTTGATCCATCAGATTGAGAGAGGTTCAGGCATTAATATAACCATTGTTATCTACCCACTGGCGAGCCTCTTGCGACTGACTCTCACTCTGTGACACAGCTGTAGGCTAGGGGCTCGTCTTTGGCGCTCACAACATCCTAAGTGAACCGGATCTAATTTGGATATTGTTCACTTATTCCTCTACCATTCCTGTCCAGTCACATGTCATTGACCTGCCTTTCTTTTTCTTTTTCTTAGTGGCAATGGGCAAATTACCCCAGTCATCCCAAGGTCCTTTTTCCCTTGGCGCAGCAGGGTAATCCACTTCCATTCCCGAGAACTCTTCGTTCAACTTCACCTCAGAGGGTTCTACAATGGCCTCCTTTTCAGCTGCCGTCACTTGAATTGCCTCTTTTAGTTCTTCCTGTTCTATTCCATCCTCCTCTATCTCATCCTCTTCTGTTTCATCCTCTATATATTTTCCTGAAGTTGACTGGCCGGAAGATTGCTCTGACTCAAAAGTGACTGGCCTCGGTGTGTCGGCCTTCGCTTCTTCGTAGTCTATAAATAATTAGCTTGAAGTCGCTCACCCTCCTGTCAACTTACCATTTGCGCATCGGCGATGCTTGCTAAGGCGCTGTAGCTCTACCATACCACTTCTCAGAATTTCCATCTTGTCAGTGATGAATCTTCGTTCGTCTGCCGTCTCCCAACTTTCACCGGCAATCCTGCTCACAACATCGTCGCTGAGATCGAACACGATTTCTGGCGTGAATAGACCGGGTAGCTGAGAGATCAGGGATGCCTCAATAGCCAATGTGCTGAAGTCGTCCACCACCTGCTTCAGCGCTACCTATTTAGGTACGGTTAGCTTTGGGCCGCTTCTCGCGCGCTTAGGGCTATTTACCTGATAGTAGGCCTCCATCCAGTCGATTGCGTCTGAGCTGGCCGATGTCTCCATGTCTGCTTCCGTGTGCTTAACCAGTGTGTCCAAGACCGTGTCGATATTTGTGGGACACTTTTTAGACGTGATCCCTGACTCGTTCAATCCGAGCTCTAGACGTTTTCGAACACGACCGATTCTAATTTTGTGGACATTTTCAGTCAGGTAATGGTTGTATGTGATGGGATGCCCATCTTCATGAGGTCGCAACACCTCATTCACCCTCTTCTGCAGCTGACGATTAAGCTGATCAAGGGCATCGTTGATTAATTCTCCCCAGAGCTTTACCTTAGTGTCTTCGTCAACGACGTGTGCCAGCACCGCGTTGACAGTGAAATCGACTGCTCCAAATATTTTCTCTGAGTAATTCTCCAGCCAACCTCTCCAAGGAGCGCATTGCTTGTGGAACAGCTCTCCAATTATCAGAGGGTTGTATGTGCCCAGAAGCTCGCATCCGCGGGTCCGCTTCATAAGACGTCTCACTTCCTGCAGATAATCGCTGCGCAAGACTTGATTTCGGCTCCTGTTGGCAGACGTCTCGACTATCTCCCTAGCTTTCCCATTGATGCGCATTTGATCAGAAAAATCGCTTAGGGTGTTCTGAACGATAGCACGGAGACGTTTCTCATATCCTTCCTCTTCTCGAGCATTCCCGAAGAACTTATCCTGGTAGGTTCCATCTTTGGCTTCGGAGATGAGGTGCGAGAACTGATGGCTAACATTGAGCAAGAACTTGCGTTGTTCTCCGAGACTACTACGGGCCGTGCCAAGCTTTTCAAGCCTGCTAGAGCAGTCTTCTAGTCCTCTCTGTATCTCTCCAAGGACATCGGGTAGTTGGTCCAGTATCTGATTCTTGAGCACCTCGCTGAGCCGAGTACGGAGGCTTCCGGCACCTTTCTGGGATCGAGGCAGCCCTGCCCAAATTCCTTGGTCGAAGAATCGCAGTTCTGCTTTGTCGCGCTCTTCGTTTGTGGCATTCCTAGACTTAAAATCACGATTTCTTATAACGTGCCAACCCAGTCTGAACTTGACGTCTTTATTTTGCACCAGGTTCAACTAGTCGTGTTCGCTTGCAGAACCGACATCGAGCGTATCCGGTTTAGTAATGAGACCTATGGTTCTGATACCCTGGATATCTATCTCTCGCGCATGCTGGGTCACCTCTTGCAAGGCGAAGTTACTCTGGGCCGAGACTACGGCGAGGATGATGCTCCGAGGATTTTTCATGTATGAGAGCACAAGCGACTGGACAATCGCGGCGTCTTCGGCCGACTGCTCCTTATTCCCGGCGCGGAACAACCCTGGCAGGTCAACAATCGTCAGATGCGGTTGTGTTGAACCGGATAGCTCAATGCGAAGCACGTCCTTGCAAAACGTCCTACCTCGGTCGATGCCGACCCCCATCACCTTCCTTAGCTTTATCCACAAGAACACCGATATTGTTGCTATCAGGGATCTCAGAATACTTGAACTGCTCAAGGCGAGCCCTTTCTTGATTCGATCGGTCAGCACCAGGAGAGATGGAAATGTGGCATTTCTCCTCGGCATCCTCGCCAGTATGTCGTAGGATCAATTCTGTTGCGAACCGTGTACAGAGGTTATCCTGAGTTGGAAAGGACATGCCCGAGATAGCCTGCAGAACCGAGCTCTTCCCGGATGACTGGTCACCGCAAACCACAATCTGGGGAAGGTTGACATAGCGATTGATCCCCTTAGACCGCAACTTGTCAATAACGTCCATCAATGTCTTATGGTCCTTGGACTGGAGCGGGATGGCTGCGGCGTGATCGGCCATGTTGAGAAATCGAACGGTTGTGATCAAAACACTCTTGAGGTTAACTATAGCGGCGAGAGTAAATCTAGACTTGGCACAAGAAGATAGGTATTCACCTGGCACTCAGGGTCTGCTCAGGTTTGAGTTTGCAAGTTACATCCTCACACATCAGGCATAGATAGGGCGGGCAATTAATGCAGGCTGCCGCGACTTTGCATGCCAACGCCACGCCAAATATGCACATTTCCCGCATTGGACACCAGCCTGCTTCTCACTAAAGCGATATATCACATTCAGTGTTACACGCAACCAACAGATGAACGCCAGCTAAATGATGGTTGGCCGGATTGCCTCCGTTGAAGGTGCTCTCACAGTATCCGCTATCTACACCATAACTTTAGGACTTGCTTCCGAACGCTACCTATGTTTGACCAATGCATGGGATGCGCCGCCATCAACAACCGAAGCCGAGCAGGAAAGGATCACCACCGCGTCTACAAAATGCTAGGTATAACCAGCATGCTCATTGGCAAACGTCCAGTCAAGGATTTCTTTTCCTCCGGAGAAGCTTGGAGAAATTTACCATGACCCGAACAACTCTTGCCTCGTTCTCGAGGGCCGCCGTTTGCACCATTCTCTTGGACCACTTGCTTCTCTACAACGCAATTACCTAGGTGCCTCTGAGAATTCGCGCTCTGAGACCAGAGAAGTGAGCATTACAATTACGCCGCCTAGCCGCAGGTCAGTCGTTAGCGGTTGGATCTGGGATAGTGGCACGAGTCAACAAAATAAATCCAATATTGTGTACTTCGTTGAGACTGTGCCGGTCAGTAAGACATGATGCAATAGGCATGATTCGTTGCCCCAACCTATACAGGATTTTCCCAATTATCGTAAGTCCTAAATCTCGAGTCTTGATCAAAGTAACCTACACCAATGATGTAAACGAGGACGTCAAGGCGGCCATGAGCGGTAGCAACGCAAGTTGTTAAACCATCGGCGTGCAATAGGACTTTTCAGGGTAGAGATGGGCCTTTTGAATACCTTCTTAAGAAACAGCAACTGGCTGGAAGATCGCGTAGGGGATACACGTGCCGTAAGAACAAAAAGACTATCATGATGGTAGGATATCAAGAACACGACCCTAGTGACGGGATCAACAGCATAGACAGTATTAGCAACGTTTTCATCTCTAATGGAAGTTATCCTTGGCGGCCATATTGACAGGATGTCAAAGGTACCTAGGTACACAATTTAGCTACTCATAATTCGATGTCATTCCATTGAGAAAGGGATGTATATAGCATTGTAGCCGTATTATATGAGTTGTAGGAGGCTCTGAAGGAGACCTGCATGCAAGACTACCTATTTAAAGCTAACAAGAACCAGGCTCGCAGCCAAGTTAGTTCCTTAGCAAGTATCAAAGTAAATAAAATAGCGCAGGAGATAGGGAACTCATTCATCTTCCCACGAAAGCCAGAGAACAGGATCCACCTAGCCAAATGATATCCCCCCTTTTCCCATGAATTCCCGAATCTGTCCTTAGCTTCTTGCCTCCATGCCCAGACTGAATAATCCGTCCATAAGAGCCTTTGCTTTCCTAGGATTCGTTACCAGGAAAAGAAGTATAATCATCCTCAATATCGGGTACGGGCCTAGTGACGCGACATAAAGAGACTGACGACGCGCTCGACCTCGGTTGCGGTCAAAGGCCCCTGATCATAAGAGACCTCGTGTTCCGATATGGAGCCAGAGCTGTTTCCGGCAGCACTGAGGGGGTGTTCGAGGTCAGGGTTGGGTTGGTGTTCGATAGGGTTACCAATATAGGTACCGGCAGGATTGTCGAGATGGTTTGCGTTGGCACTAGTTTCATTATCATATTCTATCAAACCAGCACGAAGTCGCTCCTCTATATCATGTCCGGGAGGTCTATTGATAAGATAATCATTGTGGGTACCGGCAAGATCATCTTGAGGAGCCTCAGTGGAAGCATCATATTGGGCGTTATAACCTTCAGTCATAGGGTCGTAAGGAGACGCGCTAATAGCACTGGCTCCAGGATAGGCATTCGCAATTGTACCATAAGGGTTGGCGTCATTGTTATTGTGAATAGCATGATGGGGGAGATTCGGATGATGACCAAGATGATCACGTTGAGAATCATCAGGAAAGGTTGCTGCAGTACCACCCATATCACCAACACCACCAACTGCGGCTTCGATATTGGATGCCATAAAGCCACCGGAATGAGCTGGAGCAGTCTGCACCGCAGTAGAGAGCATTGTATTCGACTCAGCAGGGGTCTGATCAGACACATCCTGGTGAGTTTGAGTCCCATCGCATTTGCTGTTCACAAGCTGCTGTATTCTACCAGTGTTCCATGATTTCTTGAGTTCGGCCTGGCGTGCTGGATCTCGTTGAGCTAGATGTTCCAGAATGGTAAGACCTGTACCCGCCACTTTTCCGTTTTCTAGTTCTTTGAAAATCATCTCCTCGATGGCAGGGTTGTTGCGGAGGGCAGCGGCAATAATGTGGACGGCTTCAGGCTTTTTTGCTTTACCCTCCAACCGAGCTTTGACCTCTCCATAGGTGCATACCTTGTTAATTCTAGCACAATTCTTGCACTGCTTTCCATATCCACTGCAGTCGACTCCCTCATCCTGGCACTTCTGGCATCCCAGCTGGGTGCTTGCTGGCTCGCACGTTTTTTTGTCCTTTGCACAGCGTTCACAGGGCCAACCAAAACATTTGGATGAATTGGCGTCTTTACACTGATCGCAGGATGTACTGATTCTTGGCCCCTTCGATCCTGTCGTCTTCGTTGTCGTCTTTGTCTTCTTGCTTGGAGGTCCACTTGAATAATCACCATCGGGAACAATGTTGGATTGGCCCTGAGGGACAGGAATAGCAGGATTTTGTCCCTGCTGGTTCATGCCGGTAATTCCATTGACTGTGCCATACATAGCAGACTGGTTGGTCGGGTAAAGAGGCTGGGGAGGGTAATATTGAGAGCTGCCTCCATGGAAGGCCTCGGCACTGCTTGTCTGTTTCTTATTCATGGTGAAATTTGAATTCATCAGCTTTTATGCTGACTTGCGAGATAAGTGAAGCGTGAAAAATAGTGTGAGGTTTGTGATATTTTTTTCTTGGGCAAGGTAGTGTGGGTTCATGAAAGGATGCAGATGATGAATTATTTTAGTAAAGTCAAGATTTTCACAGAATGATTACTTCTAGGGAAGTTTGCTAGTGTGGGAAACCCGAGTTCGAAAGATACTCACTCGGAGAAAGTCGATTTCGATCAATGCTATAATGAACGATTAGACAGGGTGTCGTTAAAGGGCAGCCGGCATGATGCTGTGTCGGTCTAAGAGGCGTATGTCTCTACCGACATACCCTTTCATATGTAGGATCTCGAATATCTGACACATCACTGAAGGACGAGACTCTGATGGATGACCTTGTTTTTTAATACCTAGTGAGAATTATGTACCCTACAGAAAGTTTAAGTCTATGGATACGATAGTCTGTTTAAGAGACCTTTTAAAGGAGACAACATTTCTGTTTAAGTATATTCAGTCGTATCCTCTAAACTGATAATGTTCCCTAGGCTCGCTGGGGATGCCCATTCTTGCCTAGCAAAGATAACCGCATTGTTACAAATAGAAATCAAGCAGTACTTACCAAGAATAATGACAGTACTATAATAACCCTTAATATGTGATCCAAGGTAAGTGTAAATTAAGTCTAACATAGGTTATCCTTAAGTAACTTTATAGGCTGTGTGATATGCAAGCTAGTAAGGATATTGAGATCTTTACTCTCAATATCATATAGCTTTTGGTGGATAGGTGTGTGGAAATACTCTTTATATGCTATGCTATGTCTAGACTCTAGAGATATACACGTTTCAAGAGATCGAGTACTTAGGTAGTTAACATTGTTAAGTGAGAACACCGAAAGTAAAAGCGTAAGGCATTCATTAAAAGCACTAGTTTGTCTATACGAAATTATAGTCAGATGTGCAAAGAGAAGTTCCGAGTCTCTATTCATTCAGGTAAGCTGGGCGACGACAACGATGGCGATGTAGAAATAAAGGGCTGACAATGATAATAGTGGTTGATTGGCTAACACAACCCACCCTACTGTTATTCTGATTGGTTGTTGAGAGAGATTCTACCGCCTGGCGGATTTCGAGCCCGCTCATCGCCCTGCAAGAACCATAAATATTAGGACTTATATTGAACCTTTTCTTTTCTCCTTTTTAGTAAAGACATACTTACCTTGGGAGGAAGCCATCGCCAAAGAATGGGGTTTCAAGGGGGCAGACCTGTGTTGCACATCGTAGAATCGGCCCTTTTCTATTACCTTTCCAGATCGCAGGTAATTCTCGCAGTTTTTGCCGTCTTCCATCACATTTTAGTTACGATCGGTGCCTAGGATATTGCCATGAGGGAGATGACGCGTGATAATATATTAACGATGTATTGATCTACATATTTACTAGCTTGTTTATCTGGAGGATGGTGTTACGAAATTCGTCTCATCATAATACTGACGCGACCTGTTTGCGTAATTGCAGTGCTAGGAATCGAGAAATCAATGATGACGCTAAACTTGGGACATTGGATGCAGTTTGAGGCTCATCAGGTTGGAAAGGGACGAAACTGGTTTACCGAGTTTGTGGCAATCAATTATTCCACCGCTAAATGTTCGAGCGGTTCAATCGATGGGTTCCTACGATTAAGAAAACAGGTGCAGGCAATGGATCTCGTCGTGGCATAATGTACAGATAGATGTAAACGACAGCCTTGATTTCTTCATATCCCTGGGCAGGCCGGAGAAAACGATGAAAATGATTTCGCATCGCCTGGAGGCAGTGTAATACCAGGGACACGGCGGGAATGATCATGCGCAAGCACAGTGGATACAGTCCCTCGATGCAAAAATAAGAATAATCAAAGATCGAGTCACGATGTGACTCTTCCAGAGATTAAACTGAAAAGAACAGATACTACACTTGATCTAAGCCAAAAGGCAAAGAGAGCTGAGGAAAGGAAAAGAAGAAAGGAAGAGAAAGAATTCAAACGCGAAGAAATGCTATGTACAGTTGCTTGTGGGGCGGTGTGGTTAGACTGGCAGAATTACGATTAGTCACCTAGTACCTAGGTACTTAGAAGGTACCTATGTATGTACTTACTGCAGGCACTAGGGCAACTGGAAGTCGCGATAGGCTGCTGCAAATCCGATTGATTTGATTGAAGATTTCAGCTGCACATTTCCGGGGCTGCTAGTTGCATTTACCTACCTAATTCCCTACCTGCCCTGCTCGATGTAAGCTTCAGCCTCACAATTACCTACATAGCTGGTAGGAATCTCATCCAAATCTGTGACCGAAACACAATCCACGTCCTATTTGCCTCATACTTGTTCAGCTCCAGGCAAAAACCAAGCATCCCTTGGCTCTTTGTTATCCACGTACTCCGACATGGGTTACGACGAATCCTCCGACGAGCGACGAGCCTCACGGAGTGATGGCGAAGATGCTTACGAACGCGACAGGCGCAGCCGAAAAACTCGTCGTGATGACCCGAGAAGAGATAGATCCCGCGATAGATCTAGGAACAGAAAACGCCACCGACGCTCACGGTCCCCAGTCGATGCGCCTCGGCGTAGATCAACATCCCAAGAACGTGACCGCGGTAGACGGAGCGAGCATAAACAGAGACGTCCACGCGACCACGACGATCAACGTAGCGAAAGAGGCTCGCACCGCCGTCGGGCGAGAGACGACGACTACAATAGCCGAGACGGAGGCGGCAAGCAAATTGTGAAGCGAAATGGCCCGCTGCCCTCCCAAGCTGATTCATTTGCTGTCACCCAAGGCGAAGAACCGCAAAAGCCAAAAGAGAAGCCCAACTATGGAAATACGGGCGCATTAGCCGCTGCTTCGAATTCGGTCGTTCAATCAGATGGATCTAGGATAGTACTAAAGTATCATGAGCCGCCCGAAGCTCGCAAAACATCACCGAAGGACCAATGGAAGTTATTCGTATTCAAGGGCGAAGAAGTCGTCGATACAGTGCCCCTTAGTAGCCGTAGCTGCTGGCTAGTCGGTAGAGAAATGGCAGTGGTGGACCTACCCGCCGAACACCCCAGCATCAGCAAACAACATGCGGTTATACAATTCCGATATGTTGAAAAACGCAATGAGTTTGGCGACAAGATTGGTAAAGTGAAGCCATACTTGATCGACCTAGAAAGCGCCAATGGAACTATGCTCAATGGAAAGAAGGTGCCCGAGAGCCGTTATCTGGAGCTCAGAGAGAAGGATATGATTCAGTTCGGCCAAAGCACTCGCGAATACGTGCTGATGCTCGCCCCGAAGGACTAAGGACGGGAGGACTCCGAACAAAGAACACGGTCTCTCGTGTCAATTACACATGAGCTATTCTTGTTACGCCATCCTGTGTAACCACCGTGTGTGTCCGGTTAGGGTAGGACAGATGATGGCGCAGACAATCACAAAATCGACCTCAAACGGCCTCGCCTAGATAGTAGGCATTGAATCCCTAGCTCCTCATGTCAAAATCATCTCCACCTTCAAAGTAGTAGCGGCAAGGCCTTCTCACACCACCAGTTCGGCATCGCCTTGTATTTCCACCAAGGGCAGATCAGAGAGGCTATTATCGGCATGGCCCAACGAGGCAGTGCTGGTTGATGTTCCACACCCAAGTTTACCTACGTTTAGTGAGAACTGATCAGTCTACTACTCGCTATCCCGAGACCAAGAATTGGCTCTTGAGGTTGTGAATTTTTTTTCTCAACAATCACGAGTTTGAATCTGTATGCGGGTGACGGGTTTGGAACGTCAACTGGTAAAATGTATAAGTGACATTTCACAGTGATATCTCATTTCTAAGCTACCATGTTTCGGAACGCCAGAACCAACATCTCATACTTGAGCCGAAGAATCGCCTGGGTTCCGTACGACAAAGCGTGAGTGTGCCTGACAGATGGGACTGTGACGAACTGGTGAAGATCGGGATGGTTGATTGGCTTTCCTCTAGCCGCTGTCTATCCAATATAGATTCTATAGCTCCCTTACTTGAGGGTTGGCGGAATTTCTATATTGCATACGAACGTTGGGAAACCTTGGCTGTTACACAGAGTCAATAGGTTGTCCCGTATCGAGATTCGTCGCGATAAAGAATTGACAGGATCAAATCCCGAATAACGATTAGATTACTCGATAATGCAACCTCAACATACATACGTATATCCGTGTGAGACTCATCGTGCTCGAGACATGTGAACCCATCAAAAGCCAACATGTTGACATCTTACCAGTCTTGCATTAGATTCTACAATCACGACGCTGAGTAGCAATGATCTTCGAAATAGATGTTGCCGAAGTACTGATGTCCCGTGAAGCTTCAATACTTATCTATCGGCTGTTGTCCTGCGGTCATGCAGCGTACCGAACTTCGGAAGATGGGGTCTTGGTACGTACAAAGAAGCTATGCAGGCCTCCAGCACATATCGCGAACCTTAATGCAATCATCATGAGCACTTTTCCAAACTTCCGTGCGTAAGATAATTATTCTAGAGAATATCGCAAAATACGTAGTAGCTAAGTTTTGGAGTTAGAATGCCTTGAATGAGTAATAGTATACATGTTTTCCATGACAGCAAATCAAATTGCGCGCCGGTATACCGAATTCTGCCCTACGTCAACTTAACTTTCGGTACGGCCGTGACAGCCCACTACTTAAAGTTAGCGCAGATATTAAAGTTAAGCTTTTGAGGATTAAGTTTCGATGCTGTCCAAATCCATGGGACAACTGATTGCAACATCGAAGGTTTTTGATTTGTACAGCAGGTACGGCTGGTACACTAGGCAGCCTTAAAGGCGAAGAATGGCTAGCCCGCCAAGTTCCATCCATCTTCAACCATCCACCAACACGATTGTGACGAAGGCAATTCATCCGTCCAATCAACGACATTGCTAAGCTATGTCTCGGTTCTTATTTGATTCGGTCAACCGATAACTTGATCTAGTTGACGTCAATCTACTCACTACGAAAGTTATCCGACCTAAACAGATCCATGGAACATCACGAATACATCTGCCAGGGGCGATTACGCTATTCTTACCTACATACATAGGTACCTACATGCATATCCATGTACTTAAGGTACAAAATAAGAAACTGCCGAATTACTACGCTGCTTCGCCCCTCTAGGCCCCCAGATCATGACCCTTACCTTCTGCCTCCCGCCCGTCTTACCGCATGAAATAGTTTCTTTTTTAGATCTTCAAGTACCTTTCCAAGGCACAGGAACAGGGGTGATGTGGGGAATACTATGACTAAACCCGCGTATCTCATATCGCTGAGGCTCCAGGCTGAGAAACGCGGAGCCACCTGACGACACCAAAATCAGGACCCCGTGATGGTGTACTGAATTTCTCCCTTCAACTTTGTACACCCCTCTTTCCTCATCATTCTCAATACCTAGGTACGATGAGGTACGATGTGACCTATTTCGCCAACCTTTAAACTTTTTGTTTCTGCTGAAACTTTGCACTGTTCAATCATCCGACCTTCCGGCCTTTAAACAGGGCAACGTTGTGTTAATAGCACATGGAGACCTACTCGGCTATATGGGGATCGTTTTGTAGTTCGTGGTCAGGCCGGCCAAAAGACTACTTCCCTAACTAACTTTCCCCCCTATGACTCTTCCAAACTTTCAAGTATACCGTGTACATTTTCAACTCTAAATGTCTCCCTGTACTTTCTGTTGCCGTCGCCTCATGTCACGCGCGACGTCGATCCTCTTAAATTCGCTCCCTCCTTCACAAGAAAAACACCTCCAGCTACCGGTCTTCCACTTATTCTCACCATATAAGGCGACTCTACTGGCACGAGCCCCCTCGCCTTTCTCATAAGTAAGCATGGTAAGTTGAAGCCTGTCTCTTCCGCTCTTTTATCTGGTGTATAAACCAGACCTGAACACGTCGAAATCCAACAATATCACGCCTCGACCACGATTCATGGCCTTACCGTTCTCTTTTCACATATACCATGAATGTCGCTCGTTTGATTCGACTTTTGAGGCTACATAGAATCATACAGGACTGGACGGCTACGGTACTGTCCGTAATAATGAGTAGTCTGCTAAACTCGACTCGTTCACAGGGCTCGATCAATAAACAAATCTCACGCTACGAGACGACGGCAGTATACACCCACCCTGACGCCAAGGTCGATATCGTTCTTGTTCATGGCCTGAACGGCGACCCGGAAAAAACGTGGTCGGCCAAAAATAGGGTATTCTGGCCGTCCGATCTACTCCCCGCCTCTCTGAGAGACGCCCGCGCGAATGTTCTCGTGTACGGATATAACGCCGATGTATACTCGAAGAAACATGGGTCGAATCCGAGTGACAACTTCATATACATGCACGCGCAGACCTTGGTAACGTCACTTACCCATTATCGCAAAGATGAGCTGTCGTCGCGAAACCCAATCATATGGGTGTGTCACAGCTTAGGCGGAATCCTAGTTAAGCGTGCCCTGCTATACTCGAATGACTTGAGGGCATCTCAACATGAGGACTATCGATCGATCTACGTGTCCACCTACGGACTAATATTTCTCGGCACACCGCATACGGGTTCTGACATAGCGGGATGGGGTACGATGCTACAAGGCATGTCAGATGCCGTAGTACCTAGGACGTTTTTTCAGTCGGAGTCGGTGCTACTAAAGACGTTGAAGAGGGACAACGAAACTTTGCAAAACATCAACAATCACTTTCTCGACATATACCAGCGATTCAAGATTCTCATGGCGCATGAAAACCACAAGACGGATCTGAAGGGGACAAGGATGCTCATAGTCGATGCACACTCAGCCAGCCCACAACTACCGGGTGTAACATACTATGCTATCGAAGCAACCCACTCTGGCATGTGCAAATTTGACAGTAGAAGCGCGCCAGGCTATAGAACCATAGCTACGGCTATCAGGGATTGGGTTATCGATGCGCCGGACGTTATCGCTACCCGATGGAGAATAGAGGACGACGAAAAGTTAGCAAGAGCAAAACATGAAATTGAAGAGAGAATGAAGCCATGGGTATGTTGCCCTCTCAAAGCTGGACACCCCAAAAACGATACCGTTTCTAACTAACGTCGACTAGCTTGATTCGCAACGCATCCAGCAAACTGGCCAAGGATCCAGTAGGTCACCAGCACTATCCTTTTTAGAAAGCAGCTCAGACCGTTCTCATGATCGGTCTTTGGGAAGCTCATTGTTTGAAGACGTTCAGCTTCCTTTTGAAATAGAGGAGGTTGATGACCATTCACGAGAGCATATGAGACGTTGATAAATGAGGAGCCGTAGCTGATTGTTTTTTATCTGTAGTCCCGCAGCATAATGATACTACCTTATCTTCAACTCAAGACACTTCGCGAATCGATCATCAATCTAGACCGCTCCTCACTGGCCCAACAACTCCTAACCAGCCGTCAGAAGAGGAGTACTTTCCATCCCAACAGTCTAAATCTGATCATGACCCATCTCAAGAGCCTCTCTTTATCAAACCAACGGTGTTTCGTCCTAACACGTATTTCAAGGGCCGAGACAAGGAACTGAAATTGCTACACAAAATTCTAATGGACCGTAAGAGAAGGTCTGTAGGAACATCGTCTGTTTTGATTCAGAGTATGCCCGGCGGAGGTAAAACACATTTAGCACGACAGTATGTCTTCCAACACAGATACGACTACCAAGGCGGCATCTTCTGGATCCGGGCGAAGTCTTTAGAAGAACTGGACTACGGCTACTGGGACATCGCAAAGACAGTAGGCCTTAGCGAAGTGACACCACTGGACCAGACTGGAATGGTTGATACCCGTGAAATGGTGAAGGCCGTCCAATCGTGGCTAAGCAGCCAGGCTGATTGGCTGCTCATATTAGATGGCGTTCACTTTGACCTTCCAGATCTCCAGCACTACATCCCGTTCGCGAAAAACACAAGCATCATATATACATCCACCGAACGGACTCCCGGCGAAGACTACCAGTTCGACAACCCTCAAGTCATCGCACTAGATTCCTTGACTAAGCAGGAGGCTCAGGAGTTACTCTTTGAAGAGATGGGGAAGAAAAAGCCATATACGCAAGATGACCTAAGACGTGCCGAGGAGCTAGTGGAACTGATGGATCGCCTACCACTCATGATCCACGTTGCGGCTCTGAATTTGAAGGCTACGAGAGAACCACTCGCCAAGTACTTAAGGTCATTTCGAAGTCGCCCGAAGGTAGGTAACCTACTAGCGTACCGTGCCGTCCGCGAACAGCTCGAACACAGAGGCGCCAGTGCCGCGTTAAACTTGATGTCCTTACTGTCTTTCTTCGGCACACATATCCCCGTTGAAATGATAGTGTTGGGTAAGTGTTGAGAGTAGCCGAGCTTCAGTTTTCAAACGCTGACAATCGCGATAGGTGCTAAAGCGTTGGACAAGAGAACCCCTGTTAAATCTGCTGATCCTGAAACTCGGAGGTCTTCGCTGAATAACACGTTCAAGATACTTATTGCCTTCGCTCTCGTTGAGAGGAACGAGAACAATGAGGCCTCATCGGCTAGTTCGCGTAGTACGCGAAGTGTCGACATGGGTCAGGACAGCCTTGACATACTCAGGGTTCACGGGATTGTTCAAGCATTCTTCATCGACGTTCTTGCCGATGAGAGACAAGCTCATTTCTGGTTGGAACGAGCAATCTGCGTCTTCTGCAAAGCATTTGATGTGAGCGACCGTCGAGTTGATGAAGACCCCCTGACGGGAGTGCCCGAGGATTTCCGGAGGCTGCTCATTCATGGCGAGCGATTGCTAGCTCATATCAGCCGGTTTGAGAGAAGATATTCTGAGCTCACTGACTGTCGGGAATTAATAGAATCGCGTCTCAACACCATTGGCAAGCGAATCGATCAACTTACTAAACGGATCACTGAAGCATCTAGCCAGGGTTCCGAGGCAGTGATCATCTCTGTTTTCGAGCGGACGAACAGTTTATCTGAGGGTGACTCGGAAACGCCCCCGAGCAACAGCAGCATAGCTGAACCGTACTTGCTGTATGAGGAAAGTTCGCCAATAGAATCGCCGGCGATATATAGCCCTCTTGATCATCCCAACCCTTACCATTGGCACGTTACTTTCCCACTGAACGAGCCTCATGATGACGTGGATTATTCGAGGACAGTTACGCCGCAGCCAGCGCCCACAGAAATTTTCGAGTCAATGTCCATGCCAGATGATGACGAAATTACTCGGAAGGTTTTTGGTCCTAACCATCGGACTATCAAGAAGCACGCCTCAAGACGCTACCGCGACCACGCTGGTTCTTGGAGAGCCGCATCTCAAATACTTAGCGATCCACGCGTCAGTATCAGCCGTGAGACAGCCAAGGGCATCATCAACCCAACAACACTTCAAACAATATTATCAAGGCCGCGCTCATCTACCGACAGTATGTCATCGGAAGCCACCAAAGCACAATTGACTTTAGACCGGATCAATAAGGGTTCACCTTCACTACAACCGATAAGTGTCGACAGCAATATCGATTCTATGAGTGACAGTAGCTCAACCATACGTCCGAGATTGAAAGCTGGACGGCCATCATATGCCGATCCCAAAGCCGAGGCTACAATTGACGAATATCCAATTTCCACCACCTTTTCTAGCCCCGCGCCATCACCGGACTCCGCTGCACTAACAATTCTAAGGCGTAGAGAGAACGACCACTCTGTGTCACTAGAAGGTCTCGTTCCAGTTAAAGTGTCTAGTCCCTTATCTGCGGCTCCGCTCACCACGACATCGCTGCCATCACCGCCATCTCCAAGCCCGCCGGCAACACAGCAGCCGGTGTTTCCGGGAGTCGACAAGACTGAGCACGTACCCAAGCCGCCTTCGATACCTTCAAGGTCGCCGTCAAATTCACCTATGGGGCGAACTTCAAGGCCATCATCAAGACCGACATCTGTGCTCATGTCTCGATCTGCTCAATCTAGTCCGGCGCATCCAACTGGTCCATTCTCACCACCACCTATCCCCATCGAAATCAATACCAGCAGCAGTCTCCGCTCACCCCCTTCTCCTGGTGCCCACCAATGGGATTCTTATGCCCGACTGCCACAACAATCCATAGTTGAAGACAACAAATACCCGCATCTAGCGCATTCACTGCCCTCTATCCGCTCTCATGCCAACCCCCCTTACCCACATACGGCCCATGACCCACCCGAAGACGTCCTCGCATTGGACCATCCAGCTCCGTGGGTCGCCTCCACATCCCCGAACTTGCATCCTCAAGGCTACTCCAGCCAGCCCATGTCCCGCGACCCGAGCCACCAGTCCAGCCACAGCTTTGGGTCCCACAACTCCCTCTCCGCGCACAACGCCTCCCCGCTCGGGCAGCTGAGCTCGTCCCCGGGCTCGCAGATCATGCAGCGCCCGCGTTCCCGTCGCCCCAGCGTCGTGGAGACGGAGCCCAGCCCTCGCCTCGACGGCCTGGATCTCGAGCCCGTCGAGACGAGCTATTCGCTATACATAGAGTCGGGCCGCGGCCGTAGACGCGCCGCCTCAGGCCATGCGTCGCGCGCGGATGGAGCGAGGCTGTTGTCGAGGTTCCGGCCTAGGAGGCGCGGCAGCGATGACATAGGCGACGGCAGGAGGCATCGGTCCGCGAGTGGACGACTGGGCCATTTTACTCTGGCTAGAGGCTCAAGAGCGGCGGCGGCCGAAGGGGCGGGTGGCGCGGAACCAATGGCAAGATCGGGATCCGGCGGGATACGGCTTGCGGATGGACGGGTCGTGGAGTTTGGATCCGGCACCCCGCCTATGAGCGAGGGTGTGAGCATGCCAAGGCCGGAACATGTTGGTGAGGCTAACGGCAGACCCGTTTCCTCCGCCAGTCCTCCAACGAGGCATTCGAGGTTTAGTCCCCAGAAACTCAGTAGGAGGGGTCGAAATGCCAGTGGAAGCGGGAGTGGAAGTGGAAGCGGACGTCGTAGGAGAGACAGCCATCCTTCTCCCGACGTAGGGCTAGGGATCCAGGAACCACCGAGACGATCTTCTTAATTTCTCGAGCACACATAGACATCTTGAGGCTTAGGTTCTGTATATAATTCGCCAAGCCCATGCGGAGGAACGCCCCCTTTCGCTCGTTACCCATCCTCGGGACCAGGTCGATTGCACATATTCCTAAAAGGGTATGTCGATGCTATACTCACAGATTTCCATGCATATCAGGTCTGGAAAAAAAGAAACCCCAAAAGAATCCGACAGTTTGAAATTTTGAAGGTTCTGCATAGCTCAAGGCGTTTGCATACATATATACCGCATTGTGGAAGATATGAGGGATTGAGAGGGGGGGAGGAGATACCATGATTGATTGATATTTGACGGTTTAACGGTTTTGGTTGTTTTGTCTGTCTTGCATGTATTTGGGCGTGTTGGAAGTGTGTACGATTATTTGCATTGCGATACATGATGTTGGGCGTTACTGCACAGCAGAGAAATACGAATGCTGTGTATTATAAACGAGATAGGGAATTTGATTATTACCATTCAGTTTCATATTCTACTCTTCGTTGTGCTCAAGGGAGTTGTGCTTTCTTGAGCTAGAATATGGGGGTGCGAAGTTCTATTAAGGTGTCTAGGTAGACACCAAAGTGCGCTCTATATTTAGCGAACTTCTTTTACTACGCAAGGAACCCCAGTAGTGAGCATAAGGCCCGGCTTACTCTGTGACACCTGAGAAAGAAATAGATGGATCCATCCGTACAGGGGAATCCTGTATGACGACAGCGACTCTTACAGCCTAGCAGGTAGCGTACATCGGGCGCCTTAGCTGCTTATCGTAGCTCCTGGCGTATAGCGGGCTCTCCACTTTTACCCCTATTCAATATCAACGGCCCTAAATTCTGACTTCTAGCTAAGGGCACTAGTAACGTTCAATACGACAACCGATGAATTAGTCCAGCAGTTACGTTATACAACGCCGTAAGCTTAAATAGACATCACGGCTGACATAAAAATTAAGTTCTGACTAGGTAGTCTTCGGGATTCGTGATGATTGCGTTGCCTTGAGACACCCGTCGTAGTTCGTAGCTATATGCTGTTGGCTAAAGGCAATGCTGATATGATTCTAAACTCAGAGTATCTATACTAATGATAATCAACCTAGGTGTCGAAGGGTCCATAGAACACAATGATAAGAGTCGACGTTGTATTCAACTTCAAGCCTTCCATCCAATAGTAACTTCTTTGAAACCCGCCTTTGGCAGAACCAGCCCCTAAAATAAATATGAACAATGGATACACATTCGCCAACAATTTATGTTGAATACAGGGAAACCTCCATGAGGAAAAAACCTGTAGAACGTCCGTACATGAATAGTCCTACTTATCGTCGCTTCATCCTTGCCCAATCGTCCGCTATTATTGGCATAAACCTGTTCCTCAGAGATAGGGAGAAAGACCTCCCTCATTTGATGGTATCACCTTCTGCTAGAGTTGTGCATCTAGCCCTCATGCCGCAAGGCCACCTGACCAGTTGCCATCACCTAAACTGTCTTACCACTAGAAGCTTGGTATGATCAATCTTCCACTTCGTCTTTGCCCTTATAGGTGCAATATCTCCTATCATATATGTCTTGAGGAACGCAGCCCTTCTATTTTCTTCAACAAATAGTCCTTCTGGTCTAAGGCATGTATGGGCCGCATCCCTTGCAAAACGTAGCATTCTGTCTTTGAAAGCGCTGGCTTCTCGCACAACAAAGCCGTTATTGTCACATTTGCTGGTCCGCACCGCGACACCAGCTTTGTCAGTGACTGTAAGCCTACCGAGTATAGTACAGCTCTTCTATATCAAGAACAGATGAGAACCGCAGCCCCTCGTCTCTAAGAACCTCAGCTTTTATCTCACAAAGCGTAGCTCTTCACCTTCGAAGCAGCTCGGCTTCTTCCCGGTGGCCGCAGCCCACCCGAGGAACCAATCCTTTAACATAGAGGATGTACGAAGACCGCAGCCTTCCCGAAGATCTAACCATACTCTTCTAGGGTAGAGGGCTCTGATCCAATCGATGATTCTCGATTCAAGCAACTCCTGTAGCCACAGCGGTTACGAAGATGGAAACAGCAAGTTTAACCAGATGGTCTGAACCATCAATATGCACCCAACAAAGGATAACTCTATTTTTATGACCAAGTATTACATCAAACTGATGCCGCCTCCAATTCTAAAGAACTGGAGACTGAGATGTAGCCAGTCCTGCCGTTTTGGGTATAAGTTATCTTTCGCGCTTCACCGTCGAGTTGCGCGGCTGGGACCGAATAAACATAGGTGCAGAGCTTAGCAGTCGAGGCCATGAATGCGAGCCCACTAATTGACGTTGACGAGAGATCGATCGTTAGGATACCACGCGTGAGCTAATATAATAACACTTCCTGTGAATGTCAGTAAAGCTGCGCTCGTTGACAACAACGTTGGTCTCCAAAACGTGTCGAAAAAGACAGGAGGCCAAGGGACGATTCCATCGTCTGAGCGCCCTTGCCATAGAGGGACAATCGGGAATAATCATTTCGCCCAGTGTCGAAGTATGGGATCCTTGCTCATTGGGCTCGTGCATGTTCGATCTGCGAGTATATAGCACTTGGTGCTGTATCCTGCTCCAAATTAGCTTTATAATCTTGCGGTTAGTAAAGCCCAGCCTGCTGTAACCTGTAGCACACTGCAAGGCAGCCACTTCAGTTTTCCTTGTAGACGTGAAACTTAGGTTTATCCCAAACTAGCCTTCAATAATCCGCATCGCATGGTGTATAAGAATTCCAAGCAGTTCTCATAACACGCCATCGTCGTCATTGCAGGAGCCAGATACTCATTAAGCAAATTCATCAAGCAAATTCCAGCCGTCGAAGGCCCAACCATCTAGGCCAGCTACTCAGACGCACAGGCGCAATGAAAGCCGCCACTTGGCAGCAGCCACCTGGGTAAGAGAATACCAAAAACCCATAATATCTCTTCTCTTTCCAAGGGAAAGGAAGGACTTGTTTATTAAAAAGAATATGTACCAACGGCCCCGTCTCCCACCCCCTTAGAGCCCCCCATCCCGCATCCGCAGGACAGCTAGCAGGGCCGCGTCGGAGGCGGGAGGGCAAACGGTCAATTCGCATAAAATGCCGAAACCAACCCAGCCCCCGCCCATGAGTTCCCTCCTGGGACCGTTGGCGCGTACCACGTTTTACCTTTTCGTAAGAAAAGGGGAGATGTGATACGTGGGACACCCGGGAAAAAAAGAGGGTGTCCCATTCGATGTACCGCATGGATTACAGAGCTGCAAGGAAGGATCTCGCCTTGTGCTCCACCTTGCCGCGCGGAGAGTGGAAGGAGTACGGGAATTAGAGAAGTAGCGGAAAGGAGTTCGCTGGAACTGTGGAAGTGAGAAAATGAGACATTGATGTATCATAATTCATCCAGGAATAAAGATAGGGGATAGAGGATCGACAGCCTAGAGTTATAACATTTAGTAAATCTTCAAACAAGACACAACGAAAGGGGGCCTGAGTATTATTCGTAATTCACTACCTCCCGCGAGAGACCATAAACCCAAACTCCCCTCGTGTTAGCATAGGGTATCGGTATCGTACACCGTCTCGACCGTCTCTCCCAACAATCGTGCTACCGTGGTTAGGGGCCGCCTCTCGAAAGAAATAGCGCCTAGGAGTCGAAGATCACCTTCTTACGGCCTCTTCCTCTGCCGCTGTCGAGGGCGTCCAGCTCGCGATCTATCTCCATTATGTCCAGCATCTCGACCTCAACGTCTCTCTCGTCTTCCTCGTCCTGCTGCTCGACATCTGCTGCAGCGCTCAAACTCTCCGCGAAAGAAAAGCCGGATCTTGGTCTCGTCGGTAATTGCATGGGTCTTTGTTCCGTCGGCGCTTGCGTGGAATTGCCGTTCGATGACGACTCGTCAAACACACCATCCACCGCGGATCTCGAGAGCTTTCTTCTAGGGCCGACGGATAAATTGTAAGCAACACTTCCAGGCTGTGCTGGTCGAGGATAGACAACGATGGCACTGTTTTCTTTTGCGCGTTCGCTCAACCTCTTTCGGCGACCCATCACACCACCAATTCGAGTTCCGACGACCGTTTCGCTCTCTCGAACAATCACCAGGCGAGCCTCGCCGCACACCAACAATTCGACGGGCAAGCCCTCGTTACCGGATGAACCTGCGCCACCATTCTCCACGTAACGGACGATAGCGCCAACACCCGTGCAACGTTCGCCCATCAGTCCAACGCTCAGATCATTCAACCGAACCATTCGAGTAGGTTGCGCGCCGCTGAAGAGGTTAACGCCACCGCCGACACCTTTGCGAATCTGTGCATCCCAGAATTTCAGAACACCGGGTATGATGAAGATATGCTCAGGGCCACCAATCCATAAGGCAACACTCTCATCAGCCGTTGTCGTCGTACTAGCCGGCAGTGGAGTCACCACAATGCCTCCCTTGACAGAAGACAGGCGTTCAGGGCCGTGGGTGGTCGTAAGAGCATCGCGCCTAGAATGAGGGGTCATAGGCACGAAATCGGAACCGCCTCCAGAGTTGCGTTGAGAAGCAGGATTTCGTAAAGGGCTTGTGCCTTCAACATACCCAGTCACATTGAACTCTGTGATTGCGTCGCCACGGATGCCAGATGCAGGTCTACCAAATAACGCCGGCCCTTGGGGAGATACACCATCGATATCCCAAATGCCCCACTGACCATCCGCAAGTAGTGCGAGAATAGCTCGGCCATGGGCGATCCATGATGCCGCAAGTATTGGTTTACGTGACGAAGAAGGCCGAGAAAACGGTGGGTAGAATGATATGAGCCAAGAGCCCTGGGAAGGGAACGGGCCTTCGGATAAATCGTCGGGTGGCATCGAGGCAAGCGCGTAGTCGTATATCCTGACAGCTTCGGGCGAAGCGTTACATAGCACCTGGGTTGAGTGGGTAGGATTGAAGGAGATCGAGGTAAGAGGTTTAGGTAAATATTCGGTCTGGAAAGGCTCAATACGTTGGCCCGTCTTAGATGACTCTTCTAGGGGAACGTCCCATAGTCGCAGTGCACCCGAGGCCTCGGGGGAGTGTGCCGCGACTACAACTCTTGGTAGTGCTCTAGATTCCGAACGGGATCGCTCGGCTGGCTTATTTCGCTCCAAAGCAGCCTTTGATCTGATGAGTGTCATCGCGAGGCTATCACTGCCTTTTATTTGGCCGGCAAGTAGGGTCATCGTCTCACCCCATTTACCATTGCCAGCTTTTCCAGCCAGCAGACTCTCCTGTAGCTCTGCCCTTGCCTTACTTAGGGGAGAGGGCGGGACGAGTGGTAGAGTAATGAGAAATACCTCACGGGTTACGCAAGAAGCAGCGAATACCATCCGGTCTTTTAGGATCTCCGTACCTCCCCATGCTGCATCTTCGGCTGTGCAAGGCGTAAGAGGCAATACCGCAAGATTAAGCACAGCGATGCCGAACTCAAGATCAAGTGTCTGAACAATTTCTGGGTATGGTGCATCCTCATCGATATCTTCCTCAAATTGTGGCTGGTCGACAAACGATGCTCCTTTTCCAGCTGGCGCAGCATCCTCTTCGTCGGAATCGATGATCATCACGGCATCTGCAGGAGGCTTTCCATTTTGTTTTCCAGTAAGTCCCCGCCCGGCTTCCTTGACGACATCGGCCTTGAACTTGCGACCTCCACGCCAGACTATCGTTATGCCATTTTCGTGACCGTAGATGAGGATAGTGGCGCCCTGTGGCGAAAGGACGGGATAGGTCTGGACGGCATGGATATGACGAGTGAGATTGTACCTGTGGGACAGGATATGTTAGATGGAAGCAACTCGATATGATAAGTCTACAACTAGAGTACATACGTGTACTGGATATTCTGCGCAGTCCGACGGACACGAGGGACGGTGTTTGGGGCCATCGTGGGAAGCAGGCAAAAGCTTCAAACGAAGCTATTGCCGACGACGTTAGGACTAGTAGAGAGTAGTGAAATAGAAAACACAACCCATCAATAGATCCACTCAAGCTCCTCTCATTGCATCTTAAGAGGGTGTGTCAGTTCCACGACGCGATTGTCGTTGATGTGGATAGCTGTCGTTGGAATTGAAGTCGCGACTTTGGAATTGGCTAACGCGACAAGACCAAAGACCAAAGCAACCATGTCACATTTTCCGAATTCTCGAGAGCACGTGACTTAAATTTGCGCATTGGCCACTTGCGGAAGGAGCACTTCAGGAACGCTTGGAAATAGGTACAAAGTACTTGACACTTATAAGATTACATAATTCGACATCAACCTCATCCAAGTTTTATACAAGCATATCGAAACACCATCATCAAACCCCATCGCATCGTCATAACGTCATAGTACCACCGCGCCGGTCCCTATATACAAGCGGTCAGGCGGCTAATAGTGTATTCTAGTATATATTCCCCAACCATAACCCAGCAACCGTGAAATGGCCGTCCCCACCCCATAGAAGCAGAGACCCCTAGAGATATTCATTCCCTCCGTTTCAGCACCGACGATCGCAGCGTCATTTCGCTCCAGGGTCCCTCAACGATCGTCGAAGCCACCGCAGCCAAATCTGCCCCATTCGGTACGCCCGAGCCGAAAGGGCCACGCGCGTAGGGAAGATCGTCCAAGAGGCAGCCTAACCCACGATAGCCTAACGGCACCCGAACCGGGCGACTGGCCAAATCTGGGGTTTTCCATAACCTGCTCAGGAACCTTAAGAAGAACCCCTTGGGAAAATCATGTCAAAAAGCCCTAGATTCGGCAGTGAAGTGTCACAAAATGGCGGCGATATTTCCCATCAACGACAACTGCTAACCTATTGTTTCACTTATAACTCCGTCTGTCTCAAACAACGTCGCCCAGAAAACCGTCGTGTAATACGTGTACATTTTCAGCTTTAATTAAGTACTACCTAGTAGGCTAGATATACGGCCAAAGGCCAAGGGTCATAATACAAACGTGGAGATACGTCACTTGACGGCTGGCCGTAACCATTCCCAAAAGTTGCTATAGCATCCACAAGCAAATGAATAGTCATTTGGACTATCTGAATAATATACAGCAAAGTCCCCTTTAATGACCACCGATGCCTAATCCCCTTATCAGAACTCTTCGCGCACAAGTCAAGGCGACATTCCTGCTCAAAATCCGAAGGCCACGTCAAAAGTTTCGGCTTGGTCTTCTATTAACTATCTCACGTCTGCAAAGTGGTTTGTAATGCAAATCATCGCCTAGTGATTCGCCACCACCCCCATTTCATTCAATTGGGCTCGGGCCCTAGTAGATCTCGCGAGAATTTCCGAAGTTGATGTCGAACTGCACATAGCCGACGCGGCCAAGTCGACCATGTGCAAAATAAAAGGAGAGGACGGCGTAGGAGGGTTTCATCGGTAAGATCTAAGCTGACGGTCACGCCCTATACTGTGACCCAATTGTTGTTCCATACACCTCAATACATAATAACGCCTGGGATCGTCGTGTCCGATCGATCATCCAATGACGAATGGCCACCATGAAACGCCGTCAATGCCGATGTGAATAAAAAGTGTTACAAAGCGGAAGTCGTTCATCGTGATATTTGCGATGCGAGGGTTTTCAAGCATTGGTAACCTAGTAAGGGGTTAGACTTTCGAGATGCAAGGTGGTGGCACAGTAGGATTACATACCCTCAGAATTCTCCGCGAGTAATCTTGGTTGTCGGCGATGCTGCCGTCGCTCATTCGTCGGTTCATAACAGGGTCGAGACGAGAGTCAGACATTGAAACCCCACCGCTGCTAGAAGGAGGCTTTCCACCACTGATGAACGCGTTGACAGCGGCATTTCGTCGGTGCTCTTCTTCGATCTCGGCGTTTCTCTTTCGGCGCATCCAGAAAAAGCCTCCTCCCATTAGGGCTCCTACGGCAACAACACCAACAACCACGCCACCTGCAATGCCCGCTACGTTAGGACTCGACTTGTTGCTCTCAGGCTCAGATGAGGCCGTAATCGTCTCGATGGTATCTGTAATTCGGTCAACACAAGTTCACCAAACCATTCAATAATTATTCAACTTACCAGACGTGCTAGCTGGCGCAGAGGCCGAACTAGTCTTAGATGAGGTGCTAGATGAACTAGAAGAACCAGCCTCCGCTGCTTCGCCCACGGATACTCGCTTTCCGGTGTTGTAAACGGTGTAGGTGTCAAGGCCACCACCTATAAGAAGTTAGTCGCGCATTCAACCAAGATAAGCAAGAACTACATACAAGCATCGTCACCATAACCAGGGCAAGGCTCAGTGCATTGGTCATCATCTACGAGATCGGCCTTGTTGGGATACTCATCACCACACCAGCAATCGGCCGAGTTGGAAGCACCGGCGACAAAGTTCTTGGAGCGACACAATCCCGCGCATGCACCCTGGGAGTTGAAGTTATCCGTGTTCTGATGCGTCATCGTTCCAACCGACTTGTAACAACCATGAACGGTATCGGTACCAACTATCGGGGTTTGCGGTGCCTTCTCTTTGGTGGCTGTGGATAGAGTGGCAAGGGCCAAAACGGCCGCGACGGTGAACTGGCGGAGAGACATGGCGATGATGTTCAAGTGGTATCGCGAGAACGTAAACGAAAATTAGGTATGTTAATGTAATGGAGCCAAGAGTCCAATTCTCTCAACCCGATCAACGACTAGAGAGAATGAGAATCAAGTAATAAGCTTGGTTTCTATCTCCTCTAGGGAGTGAGCCGTAGTAGATGTCCTTATCGTATCGTATTTGGTGGTATCTTGGTTTTCATCGACCAATTCGGCTTCGGGAATCAAAAGTTAATGATCACGCGGTCCAATTCATATAGATGAAGACCAGGCGTTCCTTTGACTATTGTTTCTCGTCGGGTACCTTTTAGTTGGAGCGGCCGACACGTTTTTCCTTCTCTCCGCTCTTTGGATTGGCGAGTATGACGAGCAGGATAAAAGGAATGTGATAAAACAATAGGGCGCTAAATCAATAAATCTTTGTTAGAATCCGTTGTTCATAGAATCGCCGCCCGCCAAATCCAAATCTCCTTTGAATAGTTCTCGGAAGGTTAAGTATTATGTCTGGTGGTCGTAAGGAAGGTAGGAAATGTTCTCGGCAGTGTGGTACACATGAGTCGATCGAAGTGTGTCGGAAGGATCGTGATGATGATGAAGGTTGATGTTTACTTGGACGGAAGGAAATTAAAAGTGCAGTTGGTTATTGCTCACCCTTTTTCTGAAGTTGACGAGGTCAATACCACTAATGATGATGACCTATTGGAAAGGACCTAAGGTAATGGGTGTTTGTGCGATGGTGATGGGAGGGGGAAAGAACAAAACCACGAAAATTCAGAAGAGGAAAAACGAGAGACACGTCGAGATCAGACGAGGAGGGAAACGAGTGGACTGACTGGGCCTGAGTAACTGAAAGAGTGTGGGAATGGAGAATGTTTTTGCTAGATAGGTAGGAGATGGGCAGGTCGGGGGGGTTAGGTCGGGAAGGGGAAAAAAGGGAGGAAAGAGAGGAGAGACACGAGATGCAGAGGTGACTTTGGGTCTTAGGTTGAGTTTGCGAGAAACACAGACGCTCCAGAACCTGGCTGTTGCACCCCAGCAGACCCCGGTCAATCTGCCCAGGTACAATGTATTGCTCAAAAAAGACGTTCCCACTTGCCTGTATTTGGCCTATTTTGGCTGCTTTTTGCCGTATCTGTGGTTGTATCTGCGTATCTTCGGGTAGTACCTGCAGTATTTGCGATACTTCCGCACTGGGTTGATCTGTAGGTGATTCGTCAAGTGATTGAGCCGATGACTGGCTGCTGACCTGTTAGCCGTTACATTCAACGCGGTACCTCAGCCAGCTTAAGTTACTTAGGTCGTAGTGGTTCCCTATGTACCTCTCCCCCTAACAAGTGTCTGGGCAATTGCTGGCAAGCGGCCAGCGACGGCCAGCAGTTAAGTCGGGGTGGATATATGGCTATAAAGATAAGTGGGTAATTAATTCGATAGGCGGCGTGTTTCTCACGGTCCTTACTCAAATGAGGATGGCAAGCGAGAGGAAGGGAAATTACATCGGACCAGGGGGGAAGGGGGATTGAATTGTCTAAGTAGGCAGGACCGTGTGTATTCTCGTTACACATGCACGGTACGAAGGTACTTACAGATTGTAAATTTTCGAGATCGACCAGCCTTAATCAGTACCTACATATTACGCTCAATTTGCCCTAGGGAGTCGCACAATTGTCTTCACCTAGCCACTTTTTTTCCTACCTTTACGTACATACCTACAATGCAAATAACTTTCAAGGTTCTAATTCTTCGTTCTATTCCCCGCCTCCTTTTCATTATATCATATTTGGTAGTGGGTATTTGGCGAATTGTTTTCCTTCGTTCGTCTTCATCTGCCTTATTGATGGGACTTCGCTAACTCCGCCTGACCTCTAAAATTCCTCTGGGACCTTGCAGCAAGTTCCAATCCATACAACTTTAGCATTTTGGCTGTCGCGAACCCCTGTAGCCTTCCCGAGAATTCACATGCACCAATTAATGGCTCGAAATCGTCTAATCTAGCTCCGCTGGCCGTACTTGATTGGTCATTTAATCAAAAGAAAGGAGATGTAGTCCCGTACTACTCCGTCGCTCATTCCCCTTTATGATTATATTAGTACACAGTGATATGTACATATTTCCTCCGCAATGTTTGCACACCACTAGCAACAACGTGCACCAAGGTTTATCCACGCATAAGCGATTCCTCAGTTCGTAGCAAGCGGGCACTAGGCCTGACGTGTTCCTGATGTTCCTGGATTTTCGGGTTTTCCCCCCAGCAAGCACAGCACACTTTCGGCGTTCTTGACGCCTTAGGAAGCGCTAAGTTGCTAAATTCATCATCAATTACCAGTTTCGTGCAAGGCGAACTTTCATACTCCGCCCAATTGTTCAATATTATACCATTCTATGCACTTTGTGTAACATACCAAACCAATTATGTAGCAAGTTGTGCACACCATAGTTTAGAGTTACTGCACGCAGTGCATCTAGGTTTTATGAATTGACCGAGATGTACATAGTAGTATGGATGTTTGCTGGGGATTTTCTATCGTCTCAAACTTTTTCTCCATCATTATCCCGACACACTCCGCCACCGATCACTATTCGGATTTCATTCTCATTTCTCATCTAGGTACCTAATTAAAAAGATTCAACAAGAGATGTCGCTATAGCCTTATAGTTGACCTTCGACTTAAATTGACTGCAACCATTCGCTGCAAATGCAGATGCGAATGGCTCTTAGGCTATGACAATTTTACAGCATCGACCCTATTTCGTAGTCTTGGATCTACAGATTGACATTGCGACGTGACCTTTTTTATGCACGATAAGTATCAAGAGACATGGCGGCGCCAAGTCGCCAAGATGCCAAGCGAAACAAGAAACACAGCAGCAAACCGTCACAGCCGTCGGTAGTATTTACATGCTAGGAGCAGTAAAAAGGAACTGGAAGAACCGCATAGAAGAACTAGAGGGTGTACGCGAAGGGGACGAACTGCTTCAAATGCTTCCACAACGAAGGTTTCGTTCCCCGGTGATAGTGTTACTTTCGGCACTTCTAGCTCTTACTATGCATACCTTACATCACCGGCCCAAGATGAGATGTCCAAGTTGGACCGACCAGATGACGACCCGATTCAAGTTGACGCAAACATCAACTAAACACGAGACCATTGGCCCAAGATCGACAGTCTGTTTGGTACTTGTCTAAGCAATCCCGTCGAACAATTTGGGTTTTACATATTCAGTCCGCGATTTCGCAACCCACCAAATCGTTATCTTTTTGCAGCTTCTGTTTCCTTATCTAGAATACAGCGCCGAGTGCTGTCTGGCATACTATACATAGGCAGTCTGGAGAGCACGAAAAAGCAAGTTTTCATTCTCCCTGCCCTGATGGCTTGCATAATGCATGAGCGAGGCTGAGGCTTCGCATTCCGCGGTGTTATCCGTGCCTCACATTGGTTTTTCTTGCTGCTATACATCTTGCGGCGCTTTATATCAACCCCCTCGCGTAACTAACTGGCTCTTCGCTCGTGTTCGGTACTTCGAACCCTGAAATGTCGGGCATTTTCTTGGAATTGATTTATTCTCGGGCCATATTCCACTCAAATCTCAGGTTTTTTCTACAGCTACGCACGTCAAGCCCGCCAGCTGAATCTGCAACTCCTTTTTTATTCCAAGCTTCAAGTGTTGTACACATCATAGTCCCAACCGCGATGCACGATCGATTATCCGGCAGGTAATAGGATTTGGTATCTGCCTGTATAGGTAGGTCAATGGATTTCGGACTTGTTGCTGACTCTTAACTTGGTGATTTTTATATCTAGTTGAAACAAATCACCGATTTAACCAACAGCACGTTTCAAAGAACCATCCTCCTTTTGCGTACATTCTCAAGTTGGCTTTGCTTATTATTCACAGAACTTCTACATTCAGTAACAGATATCCCAAAATAGCACGCGAACACCAGATCCATAGATTCGTAGGTCAACCCTTACTGTCCACGCCATACCCAAAACGTACACTAGCTTAATTCACGAATCTCGATGGGGTTGACCGAAGTCTTCGCGACCCAGGTAGCGAGCTGTAAGATATGGATGTATGTAGGTACTGTAATACTCATAAGCGCATTCATCGAGGACCTATGCAGTTGTAAGCTTCAGCGCTTCCTTCGACGCTCAAACTCTTCATTTTTTTCCTCCAGCTGGCTAGTCCGTCACTGGAAGTCAACATCCGGTCATGCCATCTAGTTAGCCAGCATCGCCTACCTACCCGTCCATCCACTATTATTTCTTGCATGTTCCAATATCTTCTTCGTCCCATCTTCAGTTGAAGTTTGGAAGTCGGAGTTCGACGTGGCGCGCCAACCGCCGCCAAGATCATCCGTTCTGACGGGTCATCCGGAATTGTTCCCTCAGCATTGGAACCATCGGATCGAAATTACGAGGCTTGCCAAGACAGCCTAGAAGCGAGACTGCCCGATTCCACAGTATCTATTTATGCTACATGTGTACGGTGAGCTGTTCTAGGGGTACAGTATGCTTCCAACAATCATTCATATGCAAGGCATATATCGCAAGAAATTCGATAAATCCATCTTACTCAAGGCCGAGATCTTTGATACTTATATTGAACAGTCAGCATCAGCATACGACAGTCATTAAATTGGCAGGATTGATCCGCAACGTCGCCCAACCCATCCACACTGTTAAGTAGGTAATCAGAGTGACAACACCCAAGGATGATATTCACGCAGGTAGTACGAAATTACGAATTGCGAATTGCACTAGTCAAACAACGGTAGTAGATCGTGTAGATTATGTACAGCTCACAGATCTTTAACAGGAGCATCCCCTTCCTTACCACCGCTACCATACGTCGGGCGCGGTTCCTTACCAGATCCCTTATCAGCTTCAAACTCCTTTACTTCCGGACTATCCATATACTTGACAACATTATCAGCCTGCCACTTCTTAAATGTCGCTCCCAGTCCCTCATTCGAGTAATCTTTGTCATTCGCCTGGTCTTTGTGGTACTTGACGCGAATGAAGTCGCTATCAATGGTGGCCGGATCCAATGACAAGCTAACAAGAGCATTGATGACCGCCGTCTTCGGTATGATCTTAAACGTCCAAGCCTAGTCGTTCGTCAGCCTTCCACTCAACAACCTACCAACCATCCTCGCATCTCGACGACCAACTCACCTCTTCGTGTCTAAACTGAATCAAATCCCGATCGTTCGTCACGACCTGGTACCCGCGACTCTCGGCGCTCCGAAACAGCTTCGGCAGCGCGAACCACTGCCCCGCCATCTTGTACCGGTCGTCCGCGTACACGAACTGGTCGTTGTACACGCAATCCGGCGCGTACCGCCGCACGCGCGACACCGTCGGCTTCATCTCGTACAGCGCGATGATGTCCTCGACGAGCGCCTGCCGCGCCGCCGACAGCGGGAACGATTTCGACGGGATCGGCGTGTAGTCCCCCGTGGGATGCGTCTGCCGCACTTCGAAACGCTCGCCGGGAAGCGAGGAGTCGGACGGGAAGTGCGTTTTGGAGGTGCCGGTTGGCGGTGGGATAGACGACGGTGATGACATTTTTCTGGTAGGTAACGGTTGGCGATGATGCGTAGATGGGACTGCGGTTGTGGGTCGAACGAGTTGAGCAAGTACGGTAGGTCGCGTAGTACTGATGCGCAAGCTGTTGAGCATCGTTCGTAAGGGCTTTCTATGCTATCCTAGCCAGTAGATGTAGAGTTTGAGGCCATGCATGTCGACCGCATTTTGTACGCGTCGGCGCCATAGTCTTTCAATGGCGTGTATGACGTAGTGGTTCTCGATGGATGACAGGTAGACTCGTAAAAGCATAAAGTCCGTCACCCCAAAGAAAAGTAAATTTTACATTACCATTTACCTGAATGCCCAAACAGTATTGACATTCTTAAACCCGATGATAAGTGTGTTTAGCTCAATGATGATTCATACAAATTTGAGCTACATCACCGGTCAGTGGGGGCCCCTTTCTGCGGCTGACTAAGCATTTTCCCTTCTTCGCATCGTGTGTTCGATTTATTCGACAATTCCTTGATAATAAGAAACGGGTCACTAGGTTAGCACTGGGTGCTTGATGCTAATGATTCTGGTCGTTGTGGGCTCAAAAGGGATCCAAACTCCAAATATAGTATTTACAAAGGTATTCTAAAGTCAATATATTTTTTTATCCACCACTTCCAACCAAACGTGACCTGTTATTAAAACTATCATGAGTATGTGAGCTCCAAAAGATTAGTTCCAGGAAGTATACGCACAGCGGTTGTAGTCCTTTGAGATAATAGGTAAGTACCACATAAGCTACAATGTCCTGATTAACTATTACGCTTCGATATGTGCACAGGTAAGGTGTAAGATCCGAAGATTGAGTGTACCTGATAGTATTTGAACATAGTTACCTTAAAATCCTCGAGGATTTCCATATCAATACTTCAAACAGACGTTTCCTTATTATTTCTAAGGTACTAAGGTATCTATTAGAGTAAGAAATCGTACTCTTCTATTTTCGAATTTAACAGGTCTTTGCGGTTTGAAACGGTGGACAGCATGGGCAGATATTAAGGATATAAGAGATATTTATCAGCGTATCAAAATTATAACCGAATACAAAACAATCGTAGTCGTTGATTTACTGTAAGGGCTTATATACTTACTATATTTATGATGTTACATAATTATGAAGATATTAAACGTTAAGATGATGTTGTAGCATATACCTACCTTAACATCATCCACAGCAACATTTCAAAGGGAACGTCCATTGATCTAACAAAGAGTCAACCACGCATCCTCTGATGTTTGACAGTCCGGCTGAACTGGCCACTCGCATCCGACGGATCCTGGTGGGCAGTCAAGAACACATTGACCGGCAATTTCAGCATGGCGCGAGACACCGATGAATGGGTCACCGTCCAGAGCCGAAAGGTCAAACCAAGAATGTCCATTCTGGAGAGCTAACTCCATCTGGAATGGCTGGATGAGACCGAGGTTGTTGGCACACTTCAGCACACTTCCAATATTGTCGTCGTCCGCTGCGAGAGGGGACTGCCACGTGCTGCCGCCGCCATTAACTCGAACGGCCGGAGACGAACTCCCATCATTTTTAGCTGCACCGCAGTAAATCTCGAATCCGCAGTTGTTGAGCACGTTAAGGGTGCTTCCCAGCGTAGAAGGAAGGACTGCCGCGAAGATAAGAGCACTTAAATTAAGCATATTAAACATGTTTGCGATGAAAAAGTAACTGGCTTACCTAGGTAGTAAAGTCTATGGATACTGAATGATCCGGAAGGCGACAATAGTTTTCTTTCGAGATTGAAAGTGGTGCTAAGAATGTACTGATAGCGATGAGGCTTGCGAGTTTGAATATTCCTGTCGTGGGTGAATCGCATGAAGATATATACACGCACATAACCCCCTACATTGTTGTTGGAGGCTTGGAACAGTCTCCTTATACCGAAACTCTCTAATTTATCGTCAGTTCGCCTAAGACATTGTTTGAAAAGGGGCTAATTGAACACATAAATCAGTAATGGAAACCTTGTAATAAAAACTGTGAATATGCCTATATACCTACCTAGGTAACCGCGCTTCAACTGCTACTCACCACATTGTTAATGTTGATACTTAATCACCCAATAGCACCTATGTTGAAGGATTTACAGCCACTGCTAGTTTAAGTACAAAAAATATGAGAAACGACTCATGCTATCATCGAGCCACGATATAAACCCAAATCATCTTATAATAACTCTTCCAAAGCAAATGAGCGCGGTGGTAAAGTTAGAATGTGGGTAATTTTCAAAGGAGCCCTAGCCGGAGTTTGACTAGATACCTACGATGAAATGTTATGTAAAGTTATGGTTACAGGTCACAGTACTCGGATGGAAACATCTGCTATCAAGTTTAGGGAACGTGACAAATAAGTACATGAAACGAACAATCCTTTATCAGAGAACGGTTCCCTTTGTCCCTTTGTATTCTAATGCCTCCGTAGTTATTACCTACAAGGTACATCTTAATTTAAACATTGTCCTGATTTAGGTACTTATGGACATGTAATTCTGTAGATGCTACTGTATTGTGTTTTTCAATTTATTGTCAAATATTTTAAAATTTAAAAGTCGTTGATCTTGTTAAAATGATTGGTAAGGTTGACCTCCATGTGCGAGAGAGACGTAGTTAAGAAAAGGGGTATCATGTGATCACCGTCCACCGTCGATAGCCCTTGATTAGCGCCATTCTTTAGGAACAACACCCTCCTTTTCTTAATAAATTATACCTTTCACTATCTTAGAGATCCCGCACCCGCCAAGTGCGTGACAGATGTTGTATTGCTTGGGTTGACTTTTGGACTAGAAGTCTGGGACCACATAAATCTTCAATACCCTTTACTGTGTAGGTACCACTTGCTGGTTTATACACTCCATCTGTTGGTTATAGAATGTTTGAAGAAGGCGGACCTGGAGTAGGGTTTTCCTAGATATATTTGGCTAATTAGGGTAATGCTAAAGGCAGGAAAGTAGAGGATTCCTTAGTATCAAGCGAAACTTTCTATCACTTTGATACTACCTACCTCTAATGAATAATAGAATTTACTACTTATGTATTTATTATGACAATGGACGATATTCGTACCATCCGCCCTGTAATGTATGCGAGCTTCAGGTCTCGCTTGACTCTGAAGAGACTTTGCCACTAACCTAACCGTGGACATATCGTCCCCCCATGGCAAGAGTCTTAGTAATGTGAATAATCAAGTTTGAGTAATAATAAGGTTAACTTTGATCAGAATTTTAGTAAAATATGTTATGTACGACAGTATATCGCTCTTGCAATCAATCATACATTCCGCCCGTATCTTATTTTTCTGGGCAGTCGCATAAACAACTCATAATTGACTTCACGTTGCGTGTTAAAAGGCCGGAGGGCCCTTCGAATCTGGCCCCGGGCCAGTCCCTACACTCGCATTCCCACTTTCTGTCGGTGAATCTACGATGTATCCCCATAGAAGCATGTTTGTTTATTGCCGGCATGGTTTGGTATAGAGAGCGATCAAGTCCTCGAGCAGACCACCAGCAAGACATAGAAAGGGGGTAGGTCGCAGGGGCCATCGCCTTCAGGCTGGGCTTTGGATGTTGCCGACATTTTTATGCTGTCGCAGAGAATCTGTACTGTTGTAGAGAGATAAAGGGGTAGATTACTTAGTACTTGAGGGAAAATGAGTTTCTGGAGAATGCGCGGCGAGCCGGGCTATTTTATAATGGGACATTCGAACCATTTCCATGGCAACCTTGAAGTTCGTGAGGTGCATGGGGGCATTTGGCTGGCTGATTGAAGGCGCACTTGAACTCAAATAAAAGACCCTTACTACTGGTAGGCACAGAGGTGTCGAGTGTGGCGTTATCTGGTGATAGGTTCATGTTGTATTCCTTAGGATTTAGAGTTTATACCTGGGATATTCGCGGCAATCTCAGGAGTAACCACTAGCTTATGACGCGAAACGGGCGTGTATGTGGGTCTGAATAGCTTCCTCGGACACGCGCAGTCACCTGCACAATCTAAACTTCAAAATGACCTCAGAGAGTTTTCTTCCCAAACATCAAATCCCTACCTACCTACCAAACCCGACACAACCGCCCGTTCTGCGACCCAGCATACCCATCCACGCTCCTGACCTCCCATCCCTCGCTACCGACCGTCGTCGGCGCCCAGAACACGCCCCACGGATCGCGGCGCCGCTTCACCTCCAACAGACTCGCGTAATTCGTCCCGTAGAACGCCTGCTGCCAATCAGGCTCGCCGGGATCCCCCTCATTCATATACGCGCCGGCGCCCGGCGACGCGGCGCGCAGCAAACCCATGTATTTGCGGAACACGGCGTCGCGCGCCGCCGACTGCGCGGGCGCCGCGTCCATGAGCATCGCGTGCATGCGGTTCTCGCGCCACGCCGGGTTCACCGCGCTCGCGTTGCCGGGCCACCCCGCCACGGCCGCCGTCGGCGAGGTTAGGGTGCCGTGGAAGTAGAAGTCGTTGTCGAACCCGGCTTCGGCCGCGGTCCGGATCGCGCGCATGGTGCGGTTCCAGAGCGCGTCGTCTTCCCAGTTCGCGCGCGGCAGGAGGCGCGATCGGTACCGCGTGTTGCCTGGTGCGGGACCGATGCCGATACCGCGCGAGCCGTACAGACTGGAGGGGCGGATGGTCGGGTTGGTTATGTTGATGTTGAGTTGCGCGAGGGTGTCGTAGAGCGGCTGCATGAAGGCGAAGGCGGCGTCGGGCGTGTAGCCCAGGAATGACGAGCTCGTTGTGAAGCGGAAGGTTTGGTTCGCGCCCGGGTAGATGTAGCTGAAGCCGTAGCCGCCGGCGTCGAGGATCTTGGCCGCGAAGCGGTAGTACGCGCCTACCCCTTGCCAGAACGTGTCGGCGTCGGTGACTACGCCGGGACCTGGGGTGCTCGTGTTTGAGGGTTGTGAGAGCGAGAGTGAGAGCCCGGATGAGGTTATTGTGATTGGTGGGTATGCCTTGTATATGGCGGAGGTTACTATGCCGTATGTTGCTATGGTAATCATCAGCCCAAGAGCTCATTTCTTTAGGGTACTTCGAGGAGCACGGTTTCATACGTACCTCCGCCTCCACCGCGAATCGCGTAAAAAAGATCTGTGTTAGTAAATGGGTCCGCGGTTACGAATCTTCCCGAAGCTGTCACCACGCCGAGAGAAAGGACTTGATCGGCTCCAAGTCCGTACGTGGAGGTAATGGTAGTGTGGCCTCCTGCGCTCATCCAACCGCCTACTCCACCTACCGTGCTACATCCAGGCGAGACTATACTTATATTGTGGTCGTTCATGAAATTGTGCTCTTCCCATGATTCGACACCGGATCCGAGATGGGCAGCCATTCCCCTATACGGCCCGATACTGTACGAAGGGATAAATTCCATCTCCTTTAGATGGTGCGTCCAGACGCTGAGGGATCCCGCCCCTATCGATCTTCCGCCAAAATCATGGCCAGTATTCCTATGCCAAGCGTGAGTAAACTCTCTTGTTATAGTGTTATAAAATTGTATACGGGATAAGAGGGATTTTTACTTAACGATCAGGCGAATTTGCTTGTTCCTAGCGAAGTTAACCGCTGCTTGAATATGCTTCACATTGGTGGCATTCACAACATATTCCGGGAATCCTCCTCTTGTACAATTTCCCTGAGGATCCGAAACGAGTGGACAAGTGCTGCCTTGAGACCATTGCGTTAACGCGACGAGCGGGTCGTCAAGCCAGTAGTGAGAAGATGAAGCGTTGGTAAGTAAGAACGTGCACTCTGCTTGATCAAAATCCGGTCCTTGGTAGCAAGCAGCGGCCGCGGGTTTGGGCTTGAGGAGAGCGCCCCCAAGAGTCCTATTCAACCGGGCCCATTCTTCTGTGGAGGGCCAGGCTTTATCGCCCGGGAAGACCTTACAATTGGAGACGTTGCCGTTTTCCAGCGATACTGCCGTCTCATCGCCAAAGTCGATGGCTGCGAAATCGCCGACGTCCTCTTGAGTGAGGCGAATGGAGTCAGAGAGGAGTATACGAGGCTTAAGCGCCGTGGCCCTGGAAAGGAAAGTGCCCAGACAGACGAGAATGACAAGCAGCTTCATGATATCGAGAACGTGCCAGTTCACTCTACGCAGTAGCTTTCCTTGTGCTTTATATCCTCAGCTAACTCCATAACACCATGGCCACAACAGCTTATGTATATTGCCCAGTTTGGCGCGACCATCTGAGAATAATACTGATTGCTGGAAATAGGGGCTAGATCCTCCTCTACGAGTGATGTCCGAATTACCGAACGGCTCAGAAAAGACACCATTCACCATCCTTAACAATAGGCTGGTGACCAATTTTAGTCATAAAAAATAAGCCTGTGGGTTCTTTAGAGGGTTACTTTGAAAAACAGTTGTTGAATGTTATGCTAGTGGTAGCAGTACCATCTAACCCGGGCGATAATGACGGCTCTAGTCTTGGCATTTTCGGTATAGTACGAAAAGCTAACCGGGTCAACAGATACGTTGACGGTATATGTTACATTTCCAACTCTAGATCTGAGGTGGTGCAACGGCACCGATCTTGAACGCATGACATGAACCCATGAGAGGCAAGGAAACTTCAGGCTAAACAGGACGCATCGAGCAGCAACCACAGTTCATTCGAAAACCACATGCTGAAGTTAGATCATATATATTATTATGAAAGCTTGATCTGTCCCGTCTCCTTGGCATCAAACTTTCCGCATTCGTTTGATCGCTCGCTAATAGTGAGAAGACTACGCTTCTCAGAATTCAACTCGCCAAGATCCGTTCCGCTACCATTGCTACGGTGCTTAATAATTCTCTCTTGTCCGTCTTTCGCAATCCCTCGCGTGCTTATGTTCCCTTCGCTCGGTTGCTATATGGGGTAAGAAAAGCGCCCGAACTCCAACTCACGATCAACATGATAGGTTCTAGGAGTGCCGCGTCTCCAACACTGCGGTTGGTCTCGAACTAATCCATAGCGGTAGAGATACTACTTACTTGAAAGGGTCATCATGTGGCCTCCAATTTTACGAAAGATGTAATTTTTACGTTATTTATCAATGGCCAATTTGGTCGGTTCATTTCCATGTCATTAGGGGTGATCGTTGAAGCCCACTGTATTTGTAGTGGGGCAAGGTGTTATACGCCTTATAATTTATAGCGTGCTTCTACCGGGTTGGTGGAGATCTTTTTCACCTGGATCGGGGTGTGCCGCGCAACTCGAGCCCTCACGCCTGTCGCGCTGAAACGCGCTTTTTTTAGTGGCTAAGCTTCCTAAGCTACAGCATCTATCCACTAAATTCTAGGTAACGGAAGAACCATCTATGAAGACTGAAGCTGTTCAAGTTTACATTCAAGCCCAATTTCAATCTTAGGGACTCACCACACTTGAGAAAAGGGTTTGCCCTTTCGCAACAAGCTCCCGATATTTCCGGCCGTTTATCCTAGGGGCATTGAAATGTAGGCCCATCACTTCCGAGCCCCTTTACTCAGGTATTAGTCACTAGCCCCTAACGCTTGCGAGAGGAATGCGGTGCGCCACCATGCGGACATAGCCCAGGGCCTAGACGTCCTCGCATCATTCGTATTGGCACCACTGTTTCTACATACCCGACATACGATTGCATATCAGCACGATCTTTGAAATGCCACGAGCTGAGGGTAGCATCCAACCTCAGTATGACCCTCGTGCCATGAGCTCCGGGCCTTGGCATTTCTAGGCCGCCATGGGTATCGAAAACACAACCCCCAATTCGAAGATGTCACCATCTCAATATCCCAGGAAATGATATATTCGCTAGCTATCTGACCCCCTATTCTCTGAAATAGGAGTGTAGGGACAGGATTTCGTAAATATTCGTAAGGCCACAGATGCATAGCATAGCAACATGTAGCGAGATTCGACACAGGATAAACGCCATAAATCCGTTAAAAACATACCAACTTTTCCCCTGAGCCTCCTAGCCATCGCTCCTCAGATGTTCATATTTCGTAATACCTACGCCGCATCTTGCGGTTTGCACTCCATTCTATGCTTTTTCCAATCCTTTTTCTGACATTCCGATGAGCAGTACATGACCTCTTTGCATCTCGAGCACTTGAACAGGTCTCCTCCCTTCTTGTTATTTGTCGCGTTGCAATTACGACATCTATTAGTGCGATTAAAGTCGGGGCAGTTCTGTGTCTTTAGTAGGTCCCAGTCCACGACATCCTCAACGAATGGCACGGAGAACATTGGGCTGATGGCTATTCGCACCGCGTATTTAGATGCGATCTCATCCCAGTCCGGCAGGTTCATAAATCCGGGAGGTAGTTTTCCCCTGCCGCAAGTACACATGAACTGTTCTCCCATCTTCGTGCTTAGTGGTATCGTCGCTTTAGATCTCTTATATTCGCACTTGCGGCCGTGATTCCACGTGCGACACCTTTCGGCAAGAGCAGGAAGGACCTGCTTCCAGAGAACGAGCTCTTCGTCATTTACCGTGAGAGAGCAGATCTGTAGTTCTCGTAGTATGTACAAAAATGACTCGACTTCTCCGGATTGGATCATCTGAAGAGTAAATGGGATCACAGCGGCGTCTGCTACAACGGATCCTTCAGCGCCATTGAGACGTATAGAACGAACGAATATCATCATTTGGTTGCCACTTTCCGGATGCTGCAAGGCGAAAAGTCCGGTTTGCCCCCCTTGAAGCCCAGACGAAAGCATGAACATGGAGAATATTGATTCTTTGAAATTCATGCGCAGCGAAGGAGGCTCGGCCGAGTCTCGTAACTTTCGCTCGCGGGCAGAGAATTGAAACGAAGTCAGTGTGGTTAGCCAAGCATTCTCCTTTTTATGGGATGATTCCATGTCGAGGATGGGCAACGAGTCCAAATTAACATGCCCGTTTTGCAGTACAGGTACAGAACGCTCCCCAAGTGTTATAGGATAGATAAACGATGATAATGGGCCTGGACTAAGAGCATCTGCCAGGGGTGCGATGACTTCAATATAGCCCGATGTGCGTGCAATACGAGTTTTCGCAGCTTCCTGTAGAACCGGAACGGGGAATGAGACAGGACAGACTAGAGCTTCCTTACCGAATACGACGTCGATTAAGAATGGGGATGATTGTCGCAACTCTATCGGAACCCGTTCTGCTAAGAGCTTCCGGCCACGTTGTGATGTTGAAAAATCAATACGGCCACATATTGCTTTGATCTCGCCATCTTCAAAATTGGCCGTGATTTGTGTAGGGGCGTGGGCGTTGGCTTGAGTGTTGCGGCTTCCCGCCACAGAGCCCCCTTGAATATTCGCGTAAGGATATCCAGACATCCCTGGCTCGTATTTGGTGATAAATACGTTGGATATATCGCTTATCGCCGTCATGTATACGACCATAGAAGGCATGAGGTGCTTGAAAATTGAGAGGCTCATGGCTGTATTCTGAACGCTAAGCCCAACCTTAGCATCTCTTGGTTCAACTTGCAGAGCAGCAGACGGGACATAGAACGAAGCTACCAAAGGGGAGTTCCCTTGCCAGCCAAGGGGGTCCTGAAGAACGGCTATCGAAAACTCATCGGCCTCGCGAACCCCAGACGTTTCGACTTGTCCAAATGCGACATGTACGTTCGCAAATAGATTCTGCCAGCCGAACGGATCGCTCGATTTGAGAATGCCTTCGAGTGTTGGAGCATTAATCTTGCTCATATCGCTGCTGTACAAGTGATCGATGTGTTTCCTTGGTACTACAATTGTCATGCACACCACTGCAGGTATGCTCTTCCAGGCATTGAAACCGCCTAGGCTGGGCTTTGGGCTTACCTCATCCCTTAGCCATTGCTCCGTATATAGACCCTGTAGATGTAACTGAGTACCCAGTTCCTGGTGGTAAAGATTTCGTAGGGCTATTTTGTTCTGGTCATCTCGGCTTATCATTCGTAACAATTCCTCCCAGAAGGATGGCCAATCCGTAGAAGTATTTGCTTGAACTTGCTTGATGAACGAAGCGAAACTACCTCTATGAAAAAGGGAATATGTTTCACTATTAAGCTGCTTCTTAGCCACAAAACGTGTAGGATCTTCATTCTCAAACAATTGAGTATAAAGTTGGAATATGGCCTTGGCAAGCGCATGTGGTTCAGCTTTTAGAATCCCATACTCACTGGGGTGCTGTGAGGAGTATCTGTCCAGTTTCCAAGCTAATCGCGAATGTGCTTGTTGTTTTCGATCCGAAATGGTCATGTGGTTTATCATGAGTTCGTCCACACAAGACACGGACGTCGCATTCGTCCAGAGGTCAACTGGAGCTAGACCAAGAAGCAGAGATATCGTCGGTGTGTGGCCACGGAGAAGAGTATCAAATTGCCGTTTGCGTGTGGCCTCTGTTTTAATCAACGTCTCTATCCACAAGGTAGAGCTCGCCAATGGTTTCAATAGAGGCGCAGCCGCGACCAGTATATTTAGCGCGCCAAGATGGTCAGCTAGATTTGAGGTATCAATTATATCAAATCTTGTCGGTGCTGAACTAGCCTTACTGTAGACCTTAGAGTCAAATTCAATGGCTGCTACGTCGAGCTGTCGCCGGAATAGGTTTGTTGACTTGTTCTGCGAAGCTGAAATGGCCTGCAAGGCGTGGCTGAATGATAAGGCGTCGGATATGGTGAACCTGAGACTAAGCTTTTCGGGGTTGTTCTGGAATGCTGCTACCCAGGCGTGAAATTGTGTCTTCGCTGTTCTGATAATATTCATCACCATGTCATCGTCTTTCTCGGGGAGTAGTGGTGATGCTGGGGCCAGGGTCGCAATTGCAGCTGCGAGATGGAATCCCAAAACGGGGTCTGTTCCATAGTGAAGAAGGGTGTTTGTGGATAGAGTAGCCGAGAACATCGGGTTCGGAATAGTCGCATGTTCCGCAAAGGTACCATGCTCCCAGAAGCGTTCTCTAGCTTTAGGAATATCCGTCACGGATTTGAGTGATAATGGAGCTGCAGACCTAAGGCCAGTCAGGATAATATCAGGCTCCCCATCCGACATACCAAACACCTGTTTGCCGAGCTTTCGAGTACGCTCTAGGTCTTCTTTAAAGCTAATCTCATTCTTCGACTGCAGTGAGGCATACTTGATCCAGACCTGCCTGATTTGTTGCAGCGAATTTGCGTCACAGAATGTCAGCATCGACCCGTAGCGCCCCCTACTCCATTGTTCAATGCTGTTTGATAGAGACACTATTTTCTGTGCCTGATCTGTGATGAGCGCTTTCGATTCCTCGTTGATACGCATGTGGAAATAAACATCCCAAGCGACATCTGCACTGGCTCCGTCAAGGAGGAGGGTAAATAGCAGAACGTTGCGCGCTAGTAAATATAAGTATAAGCATATCTAGCTATACTAGAACGTTATGCATACCTATTACAGCAGTCTCACTATCGCAGCATGTGATATCGAGCTTTCTAGGTGCTATTTAAGCATTAGTAAGGTCGATAAGGATAATCATAACTGCACGATGAAATCATAGGAGGTTTCAAGTTAATTCACACGTGGGCATATCGAGGAAAAGAACAAAAACGCTTACGGAATCCTTGTTCACTATATACCGTGAATAGAATGTTGCGGACATCTCCGCATCCCAGGAGAAGAATATCAGCGTCTAAGCCTTGAGGAAAACCCCTGGTAAGGCTGACGGCAGGGGTATTGCCAAGGGCATAGAGGTAAGTAGCGTAAGGTATAGTACTTAGGGTGAACATTTTGACTAGTTGATAGCATTAACTGGTGAAGTTCACACGAGATATAGGGTTGGCTTGTATATAAGATCGTTCAATCAGTTTCGGAAATCGAGAGCTGGCATGCTGAGTCTATCACTGAAGGATAAAAGGGACGCAATCAAACATAGATGACGACAAATTCTGAAGACAAAAGTAACATCTAGCAACTTCTAGTTGGGATGTTTGGAAATGCAGGCTTGGGACTTTTTGTTGTTTGTAAAAAGTTGTAGTTGATTGATATGAAGCCTGAATTGGAGATGGAGGGGATGAGAGACGTTAAAGTGGGCCCAGCCCTAACGGCTAGGTACCTACACATCCATGCAGGGTTGTAGCTGCCTGGCCTACCATACTCAACTAGAAGTCGCCCTATCAGCTGCTCTGGTTTAGCTCATGCACTAGTGGGCCACCTGATAGGTACTTGCCAAGATATTGGGGGAAGATATTAGGGGACAGACAGGTGCGAACAAGACATTGATATTATCACTATAATCTACGAAGAACTTTGAAAGAACCCAATTTTGTGACTACATCCCGATGGTATTTTGATCCTATGGAAGGAAATATGAGGCAACGCCGCCAAATTAAAGACCGGAAAAGACGGTCATCTTTACATCGACGCTAAAACGCCGAAACGACCGTCCAGCCTCCCTTAGATCCCTTTTCGCCCGAAACCCCCTATCTTCATACCTAGATAGATAATCCCACACGATATCGTACATGACTTTTAGCCTGACCCGAGAGAGAGAAGGCTCGCGTGGAGCCCTTCGATATCAGGCACTGCACCCCAAAAAGCATAAGTTTCATTAGATTCCCGATCTGGTCTGCCCTGCTTCCTTCTAAATAAAATCCAAATATGAGTAAATAAGACCGAGCCTCAAACGAGGATATGGGCAAGAAAATAGTACGCCACTGGTTTAGATCTTTCGGTGCTATCTTAACTGCTGCCGAAGAACAAGTCGTCGTTGTTGGTAAACATATCGACGCCATCGAATGCATCGTCGAATTTGGTGTCCGGGTTGAGCATCAACATCGAATCGTTATTCGTGAATTGCAGCAGTATGTCGTCATCATTCTCGTTCATCCCAACGAAACTCGGGATATTTGCCGTCTCGATACCAGTGCTAATCGTAAGCTCTGTGCCGCTAGAGTTGGGCTCGGCGTCAAAGTATCGGCCACCGGATGGCGGAGATGACGACCTGGAAAGTTCCGGAAGTTCGTTGAACTGGCTAGTCACGCTCTTTGCCGGAGACCCCGGCTGTGACGATATCGCATCGGGGGCAAGTTCTTGACGGAGTGACATGTGCGACAGCTGTGAGACGTACGAGTGCACACTGGTCGTCGATGGCGAATGCTTGCTCATCGGCGTATCGCCGGCGAGACTCGGCATCGGCGCAGAGGACGAGCTCATCCCTTGCAAGGAGCACGGATTCATTGTTGTGCCTCCCATTGAGACATCCATGATGTCGTCCAACATACCGAAATCCTGGTCGATAGTCTCCGGCGAGTTGCCTGCTGAGGTATCCGAGTAGCCGGATTGCGACGAGAGTGACGACGTGGACTTGTTCTTCCTGCGAGTACGCGCAGACTTGTCCTTGCGCTCATCTATATCAGGTCGGTGCTTTCGTGGGCGTCCACGCTTCACGACCTTCCTCACCACACCATCAAACGCCCCAATACACATTCCGCGCTGCTTGTGTCGAGTAAGCGCGTCATGGCGAGCGAAACTATTGCCGCATTCACAAGGGTAAGGCTTGATACCCGTGTGTATCTTCGCATGCCGTTTGAGGTCGTGCTGTCGAACAAAGCACTTGTGGCAGGTTGGACACTTGTACTGACGGTCGTTGAGATGCGTTTGTACGTGGGACTTAATGTTTTCCTTCCTGCCAAACTTCTTGTTACAATCTTCAAAAGTGCAGGTCCACTTATTGTCCCGAGGGTCGGGGCCTTGAATGAATTGGTGAATATCTTCAAGTGTAATTCCCGTCGCCGTCTTAGTTTTCTCGATATCGATGCTGGCAATACTAGCGGCGCTAGCAATGCTAGCCATAGACTCGTTTCGGCGATGATGATGATGAGGAGAACCACGGCGAGATGGCTTCTCGGTTGAAGACGATCCATGGCCAGCTTGGGAATCAGACTCCGAGTTAGGTAAACGCATGTCAGGTTTGTAGTCAAAGGCGCCGTTGAACTCGCTCATGTGTGGCGTGATAGGCGTCGTATGTCCGGAAAGGTCCGAACTGGCACTGAAAGAATGCGATGAGGCGGGAAGTCCATCGAAAGTGGTATCGATCCTGAGTCCATTGTTGCCGATATGGTTCATATCCAAGAAGTCTGCCATTGGATCTGATGGCGGGTTGAACGCATCTAGTAGAGGCATCGTGTTGGTTCTATTTGGCATGGGCATTGAAACCTGTTGGGCTTCGGCTGCTTGCCGCATCTCGTCAAAGGTTGTTCGCGACCGTCGGTTCGAAGATTGCCTCGTAGGCTTGACAGTTTCTTCCATCGACTCGTCGTAACCTTCCGAGAATCGCTGCGGTTGAGGTGGTTGAACATGCTTTATGGTCCTGTCATGCGGAGTATCGGTGGGGGTGAGTGGGAAGTAGTCTAGTTTCGATCAGCTCCGTATCCACGTTCTGTTTTGAAAGAGGACGCTTACCTGTGGCATTCTGTCGAGGGGGTGTTAAAGGTCTCTGGATCTCAAGTCCCAAAGTCTCGAATTTATTTACTCTGTCCATGATTCCATTGCTAATTCGACGGGAGCTCCTCCTAGTGCTAGAAGTCTCTCCCTCCGAAATCCAGCCAGGACCTCCTGTAGGGCTGTCCTGGAAGCTCATGAAAGTGGGTGTGGACATGGCACTAGACGGGAACTGGTCAAAGTCCTGAGACGTTGTCATGTTAGTGGAGAAACTCTCCTGATTCTTCTTCATAATGGCATCCATCTGCCCATTAAACATCCCCAAGTTTATATGCATTTCCTGCTGGCTTGGGAGATTGCTGAAGCCTTGTCCATCAAAGCTTTGCGTTTGTGGTGTCCCGTGAGGGGACATGAGGTAGTTGTCTTCGCTTGCCAAGTTCGCGTATGCTTGCTGGGGGCCCGGGCGAGGCATGCGTTGCTGCTGCGCTTCTCGCAGCACATGCTGTGATGTGATTGATCCTGTATTGTTAGTAGCGTTACTTACCGTTGAGAATTCCTGCCGTTGTGGTACTGTCGGTGATTGCATCTGATGTTGTTGTTGTTGGTGTTGTCGTCGAGTGTCCAAGCTCATTCCACGGCGATGGGCCATTCGCGATCGTTGCTGTTGTTGGTGGTGGAGATGCATGTTGTTGGGCAGGTTAGACGCGATCTTCATCGTCTCATAGCCTGTTGGTGTCGAGTTTTGTCGTCTGTGTTGTCGATTTCGGGCCTGAAGACCGCCTCGGGGCGGATTGGACAGCATTGTGGTTGGAGTCGAGTTCGGATGGGAGGCCATTGTCGATAGATCCTGGTTTGCCGAATGGGCTATCAATTGATTCCGAAACTGCAGTTACCCGTCAGTTTATTGAATTCTCGGGTCGTCGAGACTGACTCGGAGTCAAGAATCAAGAATTAGGATATCAAGAGTTGGCTCACCTCACGCAGCGCAAGCCAGTCTGGCCGGGCAATTGGTTTCTTGGGTTGTCCTCAGCAGCAGCAGGCGAACTTGGCAGACGAGAACTAGAAGCTTGTAAGTGATGCCCTACTCAGGCGGATGAAAGATGCGTAGGTGAGATGTTAGCCTCTCTCGACGGTCTTCTCAGATAATCTAGAGATACTCTTCAGCTGTTGACTCCTACGACTAGTAGAAGCAAATGTGAAAGTGGATAAAAGTTCCTAGGATAGCACGATGATCTTGGTATGCAAGATAAGGTAAAAAGGTAGGGAACCTTGAAAGTTTGATGTATGCGAGAGGAGTTTGTAGTTTGTAGATAGTATATTGAATGCAGCTTCTATGCGAATTTCCAGGGAAGGGTCGCCGGGGTAGCGTAGCTCAATGTTGACGATAGCTGCAATCCGTTGCTAGGGCGACAACGCATGCGCAAATCATTGGCCAATAGCGGTAAGTTCAGGTAGGCCTAGGAAGTTACGATGTCTTGCGCCAACCAATCAACGTACGATGTATAGCCTTTTTCGGGTTAGCGTCATTCTCGGCCCGCAACAGGTTCAACTGCTTATGCAGCTGTGCAAGGCTCGTGCAAAAAGCCATGCCATTTCGTTTCCAAGTCAGGTTAGACTGAAGAAAATGATAGCCCGATCTCAATTCGATTGCATTTTTCCTGCTTATGGCCGAAACGTCATTCTACTTCATCCAGGTATCAACACTCTTTGTACTAAAGCTTGCGTTTAAGACACAACGTTCAAAATAACATGTGAAGCTTATCTCAATTAGAGGACGAGGAGATGCGGGATAATGGGCTATTCCAACGGAATTAGATCTTTATCCTTTATGTAAGTCACTCACGATAGTTCAACGAATACAATCTTCAACACCGCCCTTAATTGTGTTTACGACAGGATCTCAATAAGTACCTACTACTTAGAATAATACTAGAATTGAACATCCCTTGCGGACGTCTAAATTTCATATCGATTGAAATATGGTCGCCGTAATCTATTGAGACCGGTCGTCTCAGCCGCATTGGTTTTACCAAGCATCAAGGCTATCCTAAAAGAGGCGTCCCGTCGACCCTGGGTTTACTAGCACGAGCAGATCCATGTTCGTTAATAAGAAGATGGGGCAATATTCAAAATTTCAACGATGAGCTTCTCGTGCACGGATCTGTTTAGACGACCTAGATTAATTACTTAGGTAATCAACTCCTCAATCCTATTATTGATGCGGTTTTGATTGGCGAGACTTGACGGGACCTAGTTGATAGAACCTGATCCAAGAGGACTCGACTGGTCTGGCCTAACGTACCAGGTAGGTATAGACGGTGTCAGTGGCCAGTGGAGCGGTTTTGCGAGGCCGGCTATCAGACGATTGAGTTTTGAGTAGATAAAAGAAGTGTAAAGCTACGAGATCGATGAGTCGAACCCAATGACCTATGGGCTCGGCTAAACTTAGGATCATTGTGATACCAACATTAGGACAGTTCAAGCTTTTATTTCTTCATCTGTCATCCATGACAATCTCATTGACCTGGCAGACGCCGATGAGACTCTCCTGGTCCTCAAGTATTCCGCCCAAAAGCGCGTTTAGGTACACCCTAACGAAGGCCGAGGCGGATGCGGAGATCCTCGGCGCCAGGGGCGAGAATGGCGACTTATCCATGTTAACCGTGTTCTTGCGCCCCTGTACTGCTTTCGGGGAGCGTGACTTTACCTTCATGGGGTAAAATTATCGCCACTGCCAGGGCGGGAAAGGCAAGAGTTCAAATGGGCTTTGGAGACAATCTCTACGACTTCGTCTATATCCCCAAACTTGTCGATATCCACATGCTAGCCGTCGACGCACTGGTGCGTGTCCATAGGAAACCTCCACCGTCGCCAGGTATGCGCGCAGACGGTGAGTGCTTCCACGTTATTAACGACGAACGCGTCAAGCTCTGGGAATTCCAACGGGCCATCGCGGAATTCGTCGGAATCTCAGTCGAGAGAGAAGACGTCAAGGTAATTACCTATGGATTGCGCTCATAACAGCTGCCATTAGTGAGCGGATGGCATGGCTTCGAACTTGGGGCAAGGGGCATCCTATCGTAACCCGGCAAACTCTCCGCTTGGCAACCGTAACGCGTACTTTCAACTGCGAAAAGTAGAAACGAGTCCTTGGCTACAAGTCGAGGGTCAGCATGGAGGAAGGCCTTGCTATAGCAAATGCTAAATGATTTAGGGATGAGGAGGGGAAGAATAGGAGGCAAAGAAGATTGCTTGAATAGTACTGGTTTGTTGATATGCATTTTAAATGTAGGTTACATACATCCGTTCCCTTAAATATTTCGAGTCTTATGCTCAAGAGGGTTGTCTCGACGCCTCAAAGTCTTCATGTTCGAGTTAGGATGATATCAGAGTAAATCATGGCACCGGCTTCCAGCTTACCAGCCGTTCCGTTAGTTAGGCCGCGGGCTTTATGGAATGTGTACCTAGGCTAATCACAATGGTGACTGTAAGGTACCAAAGATGGATATTCTGAAATGAGGGGGTGTCATTTCATCGTAAAATAAATACTAACTAAACCATCTACCTGAGTAACCTAGGCATTTGATATTCCTCCGTTAGCAACACCATCCCGGTAGGGACAGTGCAGCAGTACAGTCCGCACATCCTGCCACAATCATCACACTCCGTTTCATCATTTGGTCTCATTCCTCTCCTTGAGCGGGCAGACCGTCATGTCAGGATAGGCTTTCCCGCCCCGCTCAATGTACCTATTCATCTTAGAATGTCTACGCTTCTTGCAATAGTAGAACAGCCTGTCATCCTTCTCAGAACGACCCATAAGTGTTCCACAAATACATGGGCCTGTCAGGTATAGCTCTTTTCGAATCTGGGCAAGTAGAGGGACCCATGAAATGTTCTTTAGAGACACGTTCCTTAGGTATAGTCTTCTAAGGGGCGCTTGGTGGCACAGAAGAAACTTCATCAATTCTTACCGTTCACAGGAGAACCCAGAGAGTTTGAGTGTGGCAAGTCGTGTCCACGTAGGGTTTGGTGGGACAATCTGGTTAAGTGGCATGGCATACGTACTCCAAAAGGGAAATGGATTGTTCAAAACAATGTTCAGAGTGCGTAGGTTCGTAAGGGTCGCAACGGACTTCCGAAGAACGCCGCGATGTGTGCGAATTTGGTAGTAAGTGTATACATCTTCCATCGTTGGGCCCAGTAAGTAATTTGTGCTGTCTAATATGAGTTCTAGGTGCTCGAGCTTGGCGACTGGTTTGAACAAATGCTGCAGTTGAGCGTCGTCCTTTTCGGAGAAAAACTCCAAATTTAGATTAAACAGAGTTAGGCATTTTATATTGATCTTTGTCTCAGAAATTACATCCAATAGTGTTGTCAGATGATGACTTCCGGCAGTGGGACTCTGTGGTTCATCATCTAGTTGTTCCTCATCGCCAAAGTACAAAGTGATTTGTTGGAGCTGTGGAAATAGGGGAAGTGCAATCGAGAAGCACATGAAGTCGTAATGTGTTTGTATAATTTCACTCTGCTCCTCTTTTAGTTTATCAAAGGCCATCTCTTCTTCGTACATCTCATCATCGTCCATCTCATCTTCATCCGTCTCATTCCCGTCAAAAGATGAATCCGAATGGATCTCGTAAATTTCGATTGTTTCAGGCGTTTCAGTATAGAACTTCTCACGATATTGCATAGGGATTTCTCGTGGTGGTATAGGAGTAGAAGGTTGTTTGGGGCATGGTGCAGTGATTGGAGAGCTTGGGCAAGGTGTGGCTGTCTCGAAAGCTCGAATAGGCGACGTAGATGATCATGCGTCATTTTCAGGAACATCTCTGTGCAAATGTATTGTGCACCGACTTCCCAGCTTGTTGACAAGACGAAACTGGCGAAGGTCATCATTTTCCAGAAATGAGCAGACACGACTTAACGTCTCTGAAGAGAATGTATCCATGTTTGCCGACAGACTGGAATTTATCAATAATGATGGAAAAGGTAGACGTGGATTGATGAAGCCACGAATGATGAGCAGCGAGAAGTTCACCTTATCACAAGAATTGTTGGCTGGGTAAGATATACCTACAATTGTACGTACCTATTTTTTAATCTCATGCATGAGAAAATGCATGGATGAAACGAGTTGGAAGCCACATACTCCATTCACATCTCAGTAGATCTATCGGTCATTATACAGAAAAGGGCAACCGATCTAACGATCTATAAGTCGTGTAACTGTGAAGACATCCTTCAATGACGGAGGAGCCATAGTTAGCTATCCGAGATATAATAGTATTGCTATAGAAGCCGGGCGTTCAATGCGCGAACCGGAAGTCAAGCCTCCTGGAACCTTGGAGCTTCGTCGTCCTCCTATATTCGACTTGCTGCTCCTCGGTTAACGCGTTCCACACGCGTTCCTTCTGCTTGTTCCTCCAGACGTAATAGAGTTTTGTTAACAAGAACACGAGGATGGATATTAGGTTAATTGCTAGAAGAGTAGTGTTGCCGCGATGATAAACAGGCTTGTCGTCATCACGGTAGATGTACGAAGCATACACGTTTCCGGCTTGGACGCTCATCTAGTGGCATGTTAGTTGTGTCGCTCTTATATGATGCCAGGAGTTGACCCACGTTATATAAAGCAGCTGAGACTGTTCGTGTACCGACATTGTTGGAATTCTTGGAGCACCAGCCGACAAGAATCGCGTCTGGTGGGGGGCATCAGCTCAACAATTCGCACTCTAGTAGGGGAAGGGGAAAGACGCAGGAAAGAAGAGGGAGGGAACACGCACGACAATATGGGTAAGATAGTAATGTTACAATGATCGCGTAGGTGCCCCATCTATCTTCAACCACGCCGCTCCAAAATCTTAGGGCGAAGATGCAGGGTAGTGTCCAGAGGGGCTGTGCAATAGCTACCAGTGATCGCTCATTTAACCATTCGGATAATCTAGTAAGCAGGATTAAATTGATGATGTGGAATATATCCTAAGGACAATTAGTGAGTGTAGATTGCAATGTTGGGGTCGTTTATGCTTACTGCCGGAATGGTCAGGAGGTTGGTATTGAATGTGCTGAATCCAAGAGAACGAAGGATCAAAGTGAGATAAGTCTTCGGTGGTGACTGTGGTACATAGGCAAATAGGCCAATAGCATATAAAGGCCACAAGTCGTAGTCTTTTAAGGCTTCCCATAATCGCTTTGGCGTCAAGGCTTGACGATTATGCATATCTCCTTTAGAGGGGTCATCACGGAGAACTCTATTAACGACAATCGCCTCTTCTCGCTCCGTAAACCAACCGTTCGGGCGAAACCAGGTTTTAGTCTGCACTGCGGATGCGGGCATCATGAAAAAAGACGCCAACCCCACGCATAAAGTGATAAAACCCTCAACCAAAAACAACCATCGCCAACCTTCCCAACCAAAGAGGCCTCTTAGATGCAATAATGCAAAGGCCATCAATGATGTTATGATGCCCGTCACTGAGAGTGTTGTCCAGAAATAGCTAAGACGTATTGGTAGTTCCCGCGACGTGTAGAAGTATGAGAGCCAGAGCACCAGATCAGGAATGAAGCCTCCCTAAACGGGGATGATTAGACCGAGAATCCGGAAAAGATATTTCACAGGTTACTTTACCTCGAAAAACCCAAGTAAACTTCTCGTTAATAGGAATGATCCGCGACCAGTTAGGGCACACTGCGAAATGGCGACGAATGACCATAAAACCATCTGCATTGGGATCCAACGATCTGGGCCCACAGCTTTCGACAAGAGCTGCGAAGGCAACTCAGCAAGCAAGAAAGAGACTAGGAAGATAGAGTGCCCATAATTGTAGTCTAAGTAGTCGTTGGTAAGACCGTTCGCGTTAGCGGATAACAGGCTACTCAGATAGCAGATGTGATGAGAGAGCGCATCTAGAGACCAATGAAAGTACATGGACTGGAGCACTTTCGCTCAAGACAGAATATGAATACATAGGTCCGTACCATTGGTATCCAGGCCAAGATCATCTAACATGTTGTCTGAGACGGCCTGTCCAAGGTTGCCGCGATCTACTTGCAAGCCGAAGAACATCACGCACTGAGTAGGGATGAGTTGTCAGCAACTATCGAGGTAGATCACGTAGGCGGTCTCCTACCGCCCATAAGCAGACTTTCCAGTCAAGCTTCCGAACTAGTTCCTTTTCTTCTTTGGATGACCACTCGAATTTCGGATTAAAGACGTGCCTACATTCGTACTGGCAGTTTTCGTATACCTGTCGCCAATACTCCGCAGTTTCTGTGTCTAGGAAAGGGTTTTCTATATCTGGTACAGGATCTTCGACCCGAAGACTTTCACCGAGTAGAGCCGTAGGGCTCCCAGTCGGTGTCGTATCCAAGGATCCATACGTCTTCTTTTGCTCATCCGGGTCATCTGAGGTGAGCGGTTGATAAGACATCTTGGTAGAAAGCTGAGGAAGAGACGGACGTGCGGACTCTACGGCATTTAAGTCTGATAGTTCGATGTTTAGAATATCGTCACCGACAATGGAATTACTAGGCGAAGTAGGGATGGCCAGATCAATCGTGTCTCTCCCCAAGCCGGCCGGACGTTTGAGAAGAGACATGGCAGGAGGGCTGGAAGCCCTGGGGACACGGTATTTAATAGCCAAAGAGATTCATAGTGCCAATATGTGTAGATAAGTATGTGAGAATAGGTGGGATGGATGACGTGCTACCTAGCCGCTGCTCACGCGGGATTCAAGATGGTATTAAATGGTGATCATCTTTCTCCAACAAGCGAAATGCTGATCTAGAGGTTGTTAGCTGCCATCCACGACGCACCAATAACGAATCCCGCATTCAATATTTGGAAACTCGGATGGAGATGTGTGTCGAGTACCGGAATTCCCATCTTTTACCCTACGAGCAAATAGAGAACGTGAGTTAGGTAATGAGTACATATCTAACATCACAGGATTATCTGGTGAAAGATTGTAAGGGTGGGCGTTGAGGCTGAACGAATAATATGCAAGATATGAGATTTGGTGATTCCCGATTTAAATTTCATCATTTCTAGATATTTGCACCGCCATACATGGAATGCACTAGCCACAGTAGCCACGAAAAGCGGGGCTAGATTTTTGATGGTGGGTGGGTTATGGATGTACCTATGTACAAACAATTACGAAGCCCATAATTAGCATGTGACGTCAAACAGATTCCGTCAAGCCAGACAAGCGTTTCAATACGAACGCCAAGACCGTTTCAAGCCCCACTTCCCAAAGATCTCATCCACTCATCTTGCTAATTGACGCTAATCGTTGCTAAATCGTGTGAAGGCAAGTTACAAATAATGGATAAATAATGGGTACGGCTACACAGCCTACTTTTATTCAGCAGTTCAGCAGGCTGCAACTGGTTGCACAGTGATGCACAGCCGCCTTACCTAACAATTCATAGGCATTTCTCGACTTTACTTACATTTTAGTTACCCACGCCCTATCGGCTATTCAGCATTGTTCCTCATTCAGCTCATTCTTGTTCCTGTTTTTGTCATAGTAAATTCACATCTAACTTTTAAACGGCCCGTTTTTTGCTCGTTGTGTCTTTTCGTAATAGTCGCCCGTTTTCCTCGGTTCTATCGCTTTAGCAATTTGCCAATCTACAAACCAAAAGACCAAAAAGAAACAGTCGTTCATCCATCCCGTTGCATTACTCTTGGCTGGCCAGAGAAAAGAAGAAAATCAATCACCACCGAAATCCGTACACGAAACCTCTAGACATAGAGCCTTGTAAAACGCAAACATGCAATTCGCTGCCGTCTCCCTGTCGCTTTTTGCTGCCTTCGTTGCGGCTCAGAACTCTACCTCTACATCCCTCCCGGATCTCGTCTCCCAACTACCGTCATGCGCCGCCAGCTGTCTGGCTAGTTCCGCGAAGAGCGCCGGGTGCTCGGCGGAGGATTTCACTTGCCTTTGCGGGGACAACAAGGAGTCGTTCATCTCCAGCATCACCGGCTGCATCGGCCTCTCGTCCGGTTGCTCCCAGGACGATATTGGAAGTAGGTCATATCAAAGAACCATACGTTTTGGATCAATTCATTGACAAGTTTCCAGAGCTCTCTACTCTCGCTCCCGAGATCTGTACCGCCGTGGCGGCGAACCCGGACGCTTCTGCTGTCGCGTCGGCTTCCAACATCGTCAGCTCGGCCATCGGTACCGCTACCCCTACCTCGACTCCCGGCGCCGCCGTCAGACCCGAGGTTGGAATGGGACTAGTGGGAGCCGCCGCCTTGGCCGCTTTCGCCTTGTAAAACCACTCTGCACACACCATCACTTCTCGATTTAGACTTCACGATCATTAATGACCCAGGATCAGGGCGGGTGGTTGTACTTTAGATCATCATAGACCGGTAGGATGGGTCGCAATCTATAAGGCTGGGAATAACTGGGGATCGAGGGCATCCTATAAAATGCCGGATTGGGGGGGTTCATAGGCTTTACATATTGGATCTTGGACGTCCATTAATACACGTACATACTTATTGTGCTCCTGGTCTTGTCTTTTGATGACTGACTCGTGATCAGATGGCTATAAGTGGAAGCTAAGCTGTTGAATACTTGTAGGCTGCAACTGGCGTATACATCGACACTTAATTTTAAATAATATTCTTAACAGCGCTATTGGCGTCTTCCTTATACGTAGTGGGCCATAGAAGTCCGCGTCATTGTTAAAGGAGGCTCATAGCAGTCCAGTGTGGCGATACTATGACTGGGGATGCGAATAGCTCCTACGAACCAGCATCCAAGTATTAACATTATCAGGAGACTTATACTTCCTTCCAAGAATACCATAAATAAATACGTGAACCGTTCTTCTCACAGCAGAGTAAAAAGGATAAGATAACTTACCCGAGGAGAAGTGGTATGTAGGTGTATGAGAAGGATCCAGAAGAAGCCATAGATAGATATTTCTCACGTATCATTGTCGTTATAGATCCCTTTCTTGTCCGATGTATTCTCCTCCTCGGGCATTTCAACATGCACGTTAGGAGATATGCCGGCTTGAAAAAATATTTTTGGCATTCGGAGCGTTCTTTTATCGTATCGCATGTTGGTAACACCTGAGAGAACAACGCTCACTAGTTGGTTTGTAAATGATGGATCAACTCGGCGAAGTATCCGCAGGTCGCAGTGGCCATCTTTGTCAAAATACTCGAATATCAGATTCCATGCGGTCAGCGGCCTAATATAATTATTGAGGACTAACTAGTCGTAGCAGCGTGGGCATCAATATCATTGAACGCGATATTATACTCGACCTCAATTTTTCCACAACCTTCTGGGAGTTGCTGGAACCTCTGGTTTGTAATTGCATCGAGCTCGTTTAAGGAGTCTAGAAACCTGTCTGTTGACCTTGTACGTAAGTTTCAGGGAGATAGCCCTCGGCGCCCCTAAAGGAAATAGTGGATGATCTGCTGAATACGGTCTATGGATGGAGGCGTCTTGTCCCAATGCTCCGGAGGATTCGGGGATTTCGCGTCCTGGGATTGATTAGTGCCTATAGACTTCATAAAAGCAACAAACACTTGACATAACCTGTCTAACATATGTATATTATCAACGTAAGGGTTGATTATTTTCGTGGTATTGGCTGGAGGAAAAATTCCTCGACAGTGGAATGCATGCATGATACAATCTCATCGCCTTGACAACTCTTTTCCACAGTAGGTCGAATTTCAAGGAAGCCTTTCCACCGACCATTTATCTGGCGGGTTGTGTTGGCTGAATACCTTCTGAGATCGTTTTCCGGTAGCGGCTTCATCGACAGTTTGGTTGCGAAGTCTGGGTCCCTAAACAAGTTACTGAGAAACTTGTACTGTAATAGGAAAGTCCCTTTGTAAAAAGTGAAAATCAACGTCTCAAACGCCTTCCGATGGGTAAATTTTGGGATAGAATTAAGTAGGTACTGATATAGGACCTTCAACTCTGTCGGGAAGGCAGCAACTTTTCCTTGGAGGTCTTCGAAGTCATCTTCATTGAGTACACCTTGTTCGATGGCATTCAGGACCACGCGAACCCAGAGAAAAACGCCTTCAGCCTTAACAACAACCGTTTCGGCCAGGGAATCCAGATGAGCCTTGCCAACAAGAGTAGACAAGTCACCAATCCCATCAAGCTTGGTTTTGCCAAAACTCTCAATGTCAGCATGCATCCATTTGTGGATTAAAAGACTTGGATATCCCTTAAATCCAACTTCGAACTCGTTCTATTGTTGGCTAGCGACACATATCTTGAGAATATTGAGATTTTGCTCCGTCCAGCCATTTATTTCCCGTGTCAAGTCGAAATGACGCTCATCACATTCATCAAGGGCATCTATGAAGAAAGCATTCTGTGCTTCTCGAAGGTCAGAGCACTCTTTAACAAATTGTTCGAGGCCACTCCGTTGTTAGTCTCCGGGGGGGGGGGGGGGGGGGGGGGGGGGGAAAAGAAAATAGTATAAAACCCGCCGCCGGGGTTATTTTTTGGTAAATAAAATAATAAAAAAAATTTTTAAAAAAAAAAAATAAAAAAG